CAATATCAAATGCTATTATTATTATCTGTGCACAGCCCCACTGTACGTTGTGAGGTTTGAGAGCAAACGCACACCAGCAATGGAGGCAACAGAGAGGAGAAACGAGGCTCGGTGATCGCATAGTTGATGCACCACTAGGAATTTGGGGCTTGCAAGTCAGAAATTGCACTTTCTGTTCACAATTTTCCAAACCACCTGAGATTATCCCTACCATCAATGGGAACGAGACACCCACTATAACTTTGCCTTCAAACCATTGACAGGAAGTTTAATGAAGTTCAGGATTGCAGTCCCTGGATCTATGCGTTTCAGTGGGTTTCCACCCTGCACCTTTGATTCCTCTTTGAATTCTGTTGTCACGGTAACAGGATAATAATGGGATCAGTGAGAAGCTGATGTATGCTGTGTGTAGCCAGCAGGTCTGTCAGCCAGGGCAGTGATAGTAGTGACGTAGTGTGATAGGAGGTGCTGCTGAATATCCTCTGTATCTTTCCGTGCTGGTAATTTAATGGCTGGTGCGACCGGGGGTTAATGTGTGATGTTAACAGCTTGCACTTACAACAACAAGATTACATTTGTATAGTGCCTTTCACGTCGGGAGGACATCCCAAGGCGCTATATATTATTATAGAATAATAATCATTGCATTTGATATAGCACCTTATCACGTCATCAAGATGTCTCAAAGCGCTTCACAGAATATAATGTAAAGTGAATTGACTGTATATTTTGTGGGTGAAACGTGGCAGTGAGTTGCACACAGCAATGTCCCACAAGCAGTTGTGGATTGAGTGACCCAATTATTTTTTTAAAAGATTTTTTTAAAGGAATTATTACTCCTGGAAAGCGATCAACCAATCAACAACCAAATGAGTACCTACTTATCTAGGTAAAGAGAGATAAACGGAGGTGAGTGGATTAAGGAAACTTGCCTAAGATTTTCCCCTGGCCAGGAATCGAACCCGGGTCGTCTCACTTGTGAGGCGAATGCTCCAACCAATACGCTGCGGGAGTTGCATTTTTATAGTTCCTTATCATGTTGGACTGTCTTCATTAATAATCACTGTCAAGTGTAATAATAATAATAATAATCCTTGCTTTTGATGTGGCACCTCATCTCTTTGAAACGTCTCAAAGTGCTTCAGAGTGATTACTGTGAAGTGTGGTGACTGTATATTTGTAGATAAACACAGCAGCTTGTTTGCACGCAGCAAAGTTCCACAAACAGCCAGGACTTCAATGACCTTTTTAACTGGAGGATTGTTGGCCAGGACACCAGGAGAAACTCCCTTTTGATTTTGAATAATGTTGTGGGTTCTTTAACCTTCACCTCAATGGACAGACAAGATCTCAATTTAACATTTCATCTGAAGGACAGCAATTCCAATATTGCAGCACTCCCTCAACACTATACTGACGTGTCTGCTTAGACAATGTGATTCCAAATACTGACATGGGGCTTGAACCCACAACTTTCTGACTCAGAGGCAAAAATGCTGACAATTGAAACCAAGCTGACACAAGTAAGTTAGCCCTGCTGCCTGATAGATCTTTGCTTGTGTTATCTTTAGCAAAGTTACACAATGCAGAAATGTAACCTCACTGCAGACAGAGTTATGCAGTAGTCACTGATTTTTATCCACTTATTCCTCATGTTTTTACATTTCTAAGAGTGGAATTCAATCCTCCACTTCCCTTCACTCCAACTTCAAATTTTGCTCTTTGTTCATGAGCCCTTATCTGCAGCCACATGTTATTAAGTATTTAATATTTACTGGACAGCTGTCGTTTTCATAATAATAATTTTTGCATTTGATATAGATCTTATTGCGTTTTCGAAATGTCTCAAAGCGCTACACAGAAAATACTGTAAAGTGAATTAACTGTATATTTTGTGGGTGAAATGCGGCAGACAATTGCGCACAGCAGTGTCCCACAAACAGTCGTAGATAGAATGACCAAAACCCAATGCACGACTGCATTTTTCCTCATTTAATTTCATGTTGGTTCATGTGCTTTGATAGGAAGATTACTGCTTTTATAAAAGCAGATTAAAAATGCTAGCCACTGGGATATTTGAACCCCGAAACTTAACAGTGTGTCATTTCTCAAATAGCTTTGCCAATTTCAGATGGGAGTTTGCAACAACCTTGACTCTAAATCGTTCTCAAATTCATTGCAGCACTTTGGGAAGTCTGGTACTTCAGACTTCAGGTACTTCTGACTCATTCAGGGGAGTGCATACTTTTACTTATAAAAAAACACTTTTGACTACTTTGTTTTACCTTGAGGTGGTGAATGATGCAGTTGGACCAGTTTCACAAATACCAAGAGCTACAGCTTTGGCTGAGTGTCTCAAGATCATGTGTCAATTACCCAGTATTTGGAACTCATAAACTCTGTACTGACACTCCAATGCAGTGCTGGGGGTGTGCTGCATTGTTGTGCCATCTTTCAGATGGTACAGGAAAATCACAGTACCATCTGCCTGCTCGGATGGATGTTAAAGATCCCATGATTTGAAAGAAGACTGGAATTTCTCCCAATGTCCTTGGCCGACAATCCTCCATTAAAAATTGGGTATTTGCTTCACAGCTGTTTGCGTGATTTTGCTAGCTGCCTTGTACTGTGTCTAAATTGTAAACAAAATTGCAACTGTTTACTCAGTGCTGCAGTCAAAAATAGGTTCACTGAAGCAGGTTTCACTCACATTATAAAAGAATTGTCAGCGTACGATTCTGTTTCAGACTTTAACCGTGAATTTCAGGAGAAACCCCTCTGAAGAAGCAAATATCCACTGTAATCTTTGTGGAATGAAAAACACATTATCAGTATTTTATTCAACAGAAGCTTTATCGTAACGTGAAGAAAGTCTTAGCTCCGTCTATACATTGGGTTATACCACACTGAAATGCATCAGGCTCGCACCAAACAGAGTTCATATGTAGTGTTGAGAGCAGAAAGACTGTTCGGGCTGGTTTGACTTGAGCTACAAAACATTTTGGCAAGTTGTCAATGCTGGTTAGCTTCAAGAGAAATAAAAAACACAAACACACTCACCCCGCTGCAAAGACTTGTCTGGTTATTCCTTTCCATCTTTGCACAAATCTTTGTTGTTCAGGATGTGTTTTGCTTGCCTGTGAGAGAGTCATTGTATTATTGAAGTACTATTAAATGATGCCGAGGGTTCTCTTTCGTGTGAGCATGAGCAAAGCAATGAATTTATTTTGCGTGGAAGTGCAAAGACAGACCTGGCAGTGTCACTGCACTTGACAACTTGTGTTGGTAAAACCTCCAAACTATGATTCTCAGATAGGATTCAATCTGATCTTGTGTTTGCCAAGACAAAAATGTTTTATTAACCACTCTCTTTGCACCTGCAAAATAAAGGTGTGGGGCAGAGGTGATTCTGGGCAATTAAAGCATTTGAATAAAATGGAATTCTAATACAATACAAAATTTATTTACACTGTCTAAGCATCCATAACTGTTTGTACTGACGGTTGCAGATGTGCACTTGATATTGTGATATTGAGCCTGAACTGTCAATCATCATCTAGTTGTTGGGGTGGATCTGCAGCAAGCCAGGGAAAGGGGTGGAAAACACAATTGATTTCGAACGGGATTTCCGCTAACCAGAGTCACATCCTGCAAGACCAATGAGAGTGTAAGATGTTCTCCCTGTTACCAGGAGGAATCACCATTTGCAACTTAAAAGAGGCATCATTAATTAGAAATCTCATTTGAAATTGTTGTTTTTTGACCATCCGCCACCCATTATTCCAACATACCAAAGATTTTACCCGCCAGAGAATTGAACCTAGGTCCTTTCACTTACGAGGTGAGGGCTTTAACCAATACACTACAGGATTACCCAGAGAAGACCCAACGTCCTTGCCTTCCCCCACCTCCACCACTGAGACATTCACTTGGAAGAAGAAGGAGGAGGGAGGGGAATGGCACAAACTCATAAACACATCTTGAGTATCACATTTTAAAATGAGTTGTGTGATGCACCCCTTCCTGCTGAAATGTATAGACCTCATAACTCAGACAGGCTTGTACTTCTGCTGGCTTCGTTCCTGTTAAAACAATGAAAACAGAAAGAGGTTTGTAAAAAGGCTATTTGTCAGACTGTGTCAGCTGATTGCTGGGAGCTGATTGACTTATCTTCAAGACAGCAGACAGCATTGATTTTATTATTGGTGACCCAGTACAATGGGGGAGAAAATCAGCTCTGAGCATGGAACATAATTTTAATAACTGGAGATGAGCTCTCCACCCTTTAGCGCATATTTTGATTGTATCTGTCTCTCTGTAGCAAAATATTTCTGCACTAAATCCAGCAACTTTGAACCACACAATCAATTACCTTTAGTGCTGTCATTGATGGGTGCAAGGATTTCCAATGATAGAAAGCTGGTGCAAATCACACTTTGTTGAGTTTAAATAATAATAATCCTTGCATTTGATTTAGCACCTTTCATGTCAGGAGGATATCTCAAAGCGTTTCACAGGATAAACTGTAAAATGGAGTGATTGTGTGCTTTGTAGGCGAGGGTCTTCATCCGGGAAGCCTTTTGAATCACTTAACCACCAGTCCCTTTCATTTTGATTTCGGGAGAATTTTGATGTGACAAAGCTTTAAAAATCCAAATGTCTTTCTTCCATATAATTATACAGTCACTGTACTTCAAGGTAAAAAATCCTACAAAGCACGTTGAGATGTCTCAACAACATGATAAGGTGCCATATCAAAATGCAAGGATTATGAATCTGCAGTATACCATTGGACGTCCTCCCGACGTGAAAAGCGCTATATCAAATGCAAGGATTATTATTGTTATTATAATCTGCTTAATTTGACCATGACTGTTTGTGGGACAAGTGTATTCTGTGAAGTGCTTTGAGATGAATCAAAGACGTGATAAGGCACTACATCAAATGCAAGGATTATTATTTATTTGCTATTATTATTTGACCGTGTCTCTGTTTTACAGTGTGTGGGTTGGATCTCGCACAAGCAAACTTCTTCTACAAGAATGGAGAGTACATTTGCACACAGGATTACCAGCGATTGTATGGGACCCGCTGTGATAGCTGTGGAGACTTTATTGGAGGAGAGGTAATTTCAGCTCTGGGAAGAACATTCCACCCCAGCTGTTTTGTCTGCAGTGTCTGCAGGTAAGGCATACAGTACAGGGTGTTCATAAAGTCCTGTTACCCCCATATANTTTTTTCCCCACAGTGCACTGACCAATAACTAAATGATGTGGAAGAATGATGATTGTATTTAGAAGTACTTAATCTTATGCCCTACAAGTGTTTAACTGCATTTAGATGTCCAGAGAATCAGTTTAAGTGTGTGAGCAGTTTAATTTTCATGGCAGATAATGATCCATTCCCATGTTCAATGCAACATCTTCCATAACATGGACGGAGTAAGGAGGAAATTACTGGTATCAGCTTCCTCGTATAACATTCGACTCATCTGCAACAGAAAATAAGAATTCACTGTAAAAATAGAAAACAGGGAGGTAACAACAATTTCAGACAGGTATTTATTTACGCAGAGGAGAATAGACAGGTGGAGTGGGGTTACCAGGAAGGGTGGTCAAGGCCAGGACATAGGGACTCATACAAGTAAATGCTCGATTCTGTAATGGGAGGATGGGTAGGGTGGGCATTCTGGAAGGACGAGATAAAACAGGTCGAACCTCTCTTGTGTGATCTTGTGAATATATTTCTAAACACCAATGATTGGCCATGAAGCGTTCATAGTCAGGAAGCAGGGGTTACCTTTTGCCCCACCTGTTTGTATGGAGAAATTAGTCATTGCATTTTTCAGAGAGCAGCAAGCCCTGCAGTTGGTTGCAGTTTACTGTGTCTAAACTGCTACGTGCCTCTCTCTTTCAGGAAGACTTTCCCAGTTGGAGACCGTGTGACGTTCAGTGGGAAGGACTGTGTTTGCCAGCAATGCTCTCATACACTGGTCACTAGTTCGGAGCCTGTCAAAATTCATGGGCCCAGTCGTAAGTATGACATCTCACTCCTTTTGCTCCCCAACTCCCTTTTGTTTCCTGATTTGGACTACCAGGCATCAGCCTGGTTCAAGCCCCACGTTGGGACTTGGAACTCATTTAGCCTGTGCTGCCACTCGATACAGTGCTGCATTATGGGAGGTGCTGACCTTCCATTGAGACGTTAAACCGAGGTCTTGTCTGCCTGTTCAAGTGGATATTAAAGATCTCCTGACACAGTTCAAAAAGCAAAAGGAGTTAGGCCAACAATCCCTCAAACAAAATCAGTCATTCCATTTTTTGGGAGTTCAGCCAGATGTCTGACACATGTGGATTCCCATCACCGTGCTTTAGAGTATCCAAGAACTAAGAATTCCATGCATCCCACCTACATGTGGAAATTCCAGAGATAGATTGTTGGAATGGAATGCGCACTCCCTCCATGGAGGGATGGATCCTACTTACCTAATTCCAGAGAGTATTTGGCACAGGTTGGCAAGAGCCAAGGCTTGGGGACCCCAGAGTGTGCGCTGGGGTACTGCTGGAGTTTAACCAGCTAAAACCATATAGCTTGCCATTGATATTGCTGTCTGGCAAGCTTTCCCGCTGCTTGTCCAGCTAGGACCACCCTACCCATTAGGGCTTTGGCTTGCATGGTTAATGGGAGCTGAGCCCTCAGTGACTGGTCTGCCCTTCCATGTCCTGTCAATGAGTCAAGTGGGCTGTGCTGTCAATAGCAGTGCATTCAATTCATGGCTGTTTGTGGGATTTTTGACTGTGTGGAAATTGGCTGCCACCACTACTTACAAAATACACCGTTTACAATATATCCTTATATATATTGTAAACATTCTCTTTATGCGAAAGGTGCCCTACCAAATGTAAGAAACATAATTATATTTACCAAATATAATTATACACCTGTCAGATATGATACAATACAAATTACATCTGTATAAGTGCCTTTCACGTCAGCAGGATGACCCAAGATGCTGGACAGTCAGGGATTTGGACCCGAGCTGGGGGTCAGGATTGGAGAGGGTGGAGGTCAGGGAGGATAGGAGTGTGGCCGAAGGCTCGGTTGAAGAGGAGGGATTTAAGACGCAAGGGAGGGAACGAGGCGAAGGGAAAGTGGGATGGAGTTCCATAGAGTGAGGGTGGAAAGCCTGAAGGATGGGAGACGTGGAGTTGTGGAGGTGTTGGTGAGAGCCAATCAGGAGGGCTTCAATCTTGTTGACGTTCAACTGTAGAAAGTTAGCTCTCATCCAGGACTTAATGTCTGACGTCACATCCTCCGTGTGAAGTGCAAAAGCTTCAGTTCCCAAGGAAAGCATTGTAATCAGCACCGGTTATGATTTCATACCTCATTCCTGAGAATAACAAGAGAAAAGCGATTTCCAAATGAAACAAGACTTCTCAAGCTAATCTTGGCAAATATATTTTCCTAAGCAAGCTTACAACTGCATAAACACAGCAGCCAAGGCTGGTGACAGGGTCCTATTCAGATCCTGTGTTTATAGGTTGGGGTCAAGGCCCCGACAGGATACACCTCCTGCCATTCCTTCCTCATTCCCTTCCAGTTTGGGAAGCATTACATTTGTTAAGACTCTCCTACCCTTCCTCCCAATTAAGACAATGTGGTGAAACAGCAGCAGTTGCTAGCTTTGAGCCCTTTTATCCCCAAATCAAAGAGCTTGCCTTCAGTCTACATGGAGGAAAATAAATATAGGCATTTTCCCTTCAAGATCTATTCTCAGATCGGATTATACCAAATTCTCCAGGACATGTTACACCTATCTATCCGCACAAATCCAGATTGTGAATGTACTCCATTGCGCAATTTCACACGCACATTGTGTGAATCCTTTACAGGGCTTTGTTTTGACCACTGGATGGTCTGTTCTCCAGGATGGTTGCACAGGACACAGCTGCACGAGTGTGAGGATGGGAAGCTGCCTGGAGAATCTGATATAATTCGACCTGAGGCTTGATAAATTGGGGCCAGGGAGAGCAAGGATTTTATGCTTCTTCAGCAACAACTTGCAGTTTATAGCACCCACCATGCAGGGTAGCGTCTCAGAGTGCTTAACAGTGGTGGAGCCTGACTCCTGACCCGGAGGGGGGGAGGTAAGCATGGCCAAAGAGAAAGATTTTCAGGCGGGACTTGAAAAAGAGGAGAGAGGGGGCAAGGCAGAGGGATTAAGGGAGAGTGTTCCAAAGTTTTGGGACATAGTTGCTGAATGTGCGACCCCCCATGGTAGGGTGGAGGATGCAAGAGACGAGCAGGAAGTCGGTGCCAGTCAAGTGGCGACGCCGGGTGGTGGATTGGGCAGTGAGGAGGTTAGAGAGGTAGGGAGGTGCCAGGGAGTGATGGGATTTGAACACAAGTGTGAGGATCTTGAAGTTGATTCATTCGATGATGGGGAGCCAGTGGAGCCTGGTCAGAACTGGTGAGATGGGGGTACAGAGTTTGGTCCAGGTAAGTATGCAGGCAGCAGAGTTCTGAATGAGCTGCATTTTTTGTGCAGTGCAGCTGGGGAGACCGGTGAGGAGTGCGTTCACTAGATAACAGCGTGAAATTAAACATTAAAGTAAATATTTTTGTTTAAAAAGAAGGAAGTGTTAAAAAAAAGTATGGAAATCTGGAATTCTCTTTCCCAAAAGGCTGGATGGATGCTGGATCCATTCAAATTTTCAAGACTGAGGTGGATAGACTTTTGTTAGATAAGGGTTATGGAATAAAGGCGGATAAATGGAGTTGAGGTACAGATCAGACATAATTTACTGAAATGGGCTTGAGGGGTTGAATAGCCTACTCCTGTTCCTGTGTTCCTAATAAGCTGAACTCGTGACAGGATTTGAAAAAAACATGGGAATCTAGCATGAACAAGTGAGCAGGAGATGTCATTCACCACAAGAAAGAAGGATGTTTAACACCTGGGGTAGAAATGGCTTAAAGTTTGAGAGGTTTAATAACAATAATAATCCTTGCATTTGATATAGCGCCTTATCACGTCTTTGAGACGTCTCAAAGGGCTTCATGGAATATACTGTAAAGTGAATTCACTGTATATTTTGTGGGCGAAATGTGGCAGCCAATTGCACACAGCAGTGTCCCACAAACAGTCTTGGACTGAGTGACCAATTATTTTTTATTTATTTTGAAGTAATTATTACCCCCAGAAAAGCGATCCACCAATTGACTATCAACCAAGTTCCTACTTACTGCTAGGTAAATAGAGGCATGTGGAGTAAGGAAACTTGCCCAACGTTTGAAGGGAATCGAACCCAGGTCCTCTCACTTGCGAGGAGAGCGCTCTAACCACTGAGCTACAGGACTCCACTGATTATCATATCCAATGAATCAATGACAACATCTTTTACGTAGCATTTACATAGCGCCCCTCACACAGTGTAGCGTTCCACAACACATCACAAAGAATCACCACCAATTTCAAACTAGCATTGATCAATTCTTCACAGCTTTAAATATAGTTACTTTGACAGTATGTGCGTGCTAATGTGACCTGAATTCCATTTTTAATATACGTCATCAATGTTGCAACACGTAGCGCTAAGGGCGTCAAATTTCACCAGCAGTATTCAATTTTAGTAACAGAGTGCACTCGCCTTATTGTAATACACGTTCCTGATAACAGAAAACCACAGCCCATTTAACTATTTGTTTACACGTGTTCAAATTGTATGGGTGGAGTATTATGTCGAGATGTAATCTGAGTCCTGTTCAGTCATCCACATTGTAAATAGGTTTTAAGTTTATGTCCACATAATCTTAGCAAAGAATAAGGCTCCAAAGCCATTCAAGTTCCTGCGGTTCCTGCCCCCACCCTCTGGAACTCCATCGCACAGTTCCTCTGCCTCACCCCCTCCCTTGCCTCCTTCAAGACCCGTCTCAAGACCCTCCTCTTCAACCTTGCTTTCGGTCACCCTCCTACTCTCCCCGCCCTCCACACCTCCTGATCCCAACCACCAGCTCAGATACAGATACCTGCCTGTCCAGCTCCTTAGGACATCCTCCTGACGTGGAAGGCGCTATACACGTGTAATTTTTTGTTGTTATATTTTCTTAACAATCTGCTTTTTTTGTTGTCTCGATAAACAATTAATAATAATCCTAATAATCTTGCATTTGATATAGCACTTTTCACGTCTTCTAGACATTTCAAAGCGCTTCACAGAATATACTGCAACGTGAATTGACTGTATATTTGTGGGCAAAACGCAGCAACCAATTGCACAGCAGTGTCCCACAAGCAGTTGTGGATTGAAGTGACCAATTTTTTTTTCTTTCTTGAGAGATTATTATCAAGCATGTGGAGTAAGGAAACTTGCCTAACGTTTTGCCCTGCCGGGATTCAAACCCGGTCTCTCACTTGTGAGGCGAATGCTCTAACTACTACAGGAATTGGTATTAAAATGGACATGATCCCCAAATCATGAGCAAATGCCTCAATATTTACATAGTAGGTGGTCACCTGTTCCTGATTTCTTTGAAAGCTATCATTGAAGAAACGAACATTTTAAGATACACCAAGGTAGCAGGACTGAAGGACACTGGCTCAGAGTTGTGATGGCCAATTTTAGGACAGACATCAGAAAATGTTTAATTGCACAGAGAGGAATCAGCAGCTGGAATGGATAATCAATAAGGGTGGAGTACAAGACACTGGGCTGGTGGGGGAACATCTTGATGCTTTCATTCAGAACTCTGCAGCTCATGTACTGTCCCGCACCAGGCTTCGCGACCACATCACACCCACCCTCGCTCGCCTCCACTGGCTCCCCATCCCCCAGAGGATTGATTTCAAGATCCTCATCCTCACCTACAAGGCCATTCACGGCCTTGCTCCCTCCTACCTCTCCAACCTACTATCACCCTACCTACCTGCCCGTACCCTCCATTCCTCCGGCTCCGGTCTGCTCCACGTCCCCCGCCCCAATCGCCCTACCTTCGGTGGTCGGGCCTTCAGCCTCTCAGCCCCTAGGCTCTGGAACTCTATCCCCAGTGCCTTCGCCGCTTCCTCCCTCTCCTCCTTCAAGGCCGGTCTCAAAACCTTTCTCTTTGACCGAGCCTTCAGCTCCCCTCTCGACTCTCTTCCCCCTCCTCGCTCCCTCCCTTCCCTCCCTCACCCTGACCATTTCCCCCCTCTCTCCCTCCCTTCCCTCCCCTCACCCTGACCATTTCCCCCCTGCTCGGGTCATGACCCAACTGTGCAGCGCCTTGGGACGTCCTCCTGACGTGAAAGGCGCTTTATAAATGGAATCTTGTTGTTGTTGTTGTTGGAAGGAGAGCAAATGTGTTGAAAGACCTTCTCTGTCCAGGTCTCCCCTTGACAAAGCCTCCATTGAAACGCACACAACCCATTTGACACAACACCTCCAAAATCCATCAGAAAGCAAATCCTTTCATAATAGTAATATTGTTTTTCTAAATGCTTTGAACATTGCGCCCTAGAACCTGTACAAATACACTGGCTCAATTGTAACATCAAAACGGAGTGCCGTGCCAAAGTACAATTCCTTGCATATTGGCTCTTAGAAGTAAAACAGTCTGAGTCACTTCAAGCCCAAATGACGGAAAATGTTTCATTGTTGCATGACTTTATCACCCTAATCAAACCCAAGCAAGTCTTAGATTGTTGTCTAGGTTCTGTAGTCTCCCCCAACTTCAAGCACTCTTCACAAATTACTTTTCGTTTAAAGTCAAGAGTACCTCCTTTAATTGATTCAAGCTGTAATTCCTTCAGTCGTGAAAGCAATAAGCCTGACACAATTCATTTTATTCAAATACAGTGTTTCCAGTCTCGACAACCAGTCTGGCATCTGGTAACTATTGTGCAGTTTAGCTAATCGTGCAATAAATGGGAACTTTGATTTCCAATGTAAGTGTGAATTGGATGTAATTATTCTCTTAACATTCACTTGTTTGGCATACAACTTGAATAAAACTAAGATAATTCTCTCCCTAAATCCCTCACCTCATACTCACTCTTTCACTGCTTTCAAAACCCACCTGAAAACCTTCTACCATCCAACCCAACTCAGGCATCTGCTCCATTCATTTCAAGCACTTTGGGACCTTTTCCTCGCCAAGGCAAGTTTTTTTTGCTCCTTTTCCTTTGCCATTGAGGGTCATTTGGGAGTAGTTTCTTTCCCCACCCCCACAAAACACACAGTTGGCAAAGGGGCTGCCTCTGTGAGTCACATTGATGTGATAGCCATCTTCAAAGGTGGGCCTCGAAACATACAATCAATGGCATTTGTGCCACTGAATTGATATCTGTTTCAGATTCTCATCAGTGCCATGCTGACAGTGTAAATAATAATAATAATCCTTGCATTTGATACTGTGCCTTATCACGTCCTTGAGACATCTCAAAGCACTTCACAGAATATATTGTAAAATGGACTGACAATGTATTTTGTGAGCAAAACAATGGAAAATGCTCCCTCTTGGTGACATCATCCACAGACATGGGGTTAACTTCCGCATGTATGCGGATGACACCCAACTCTATCTTCCTGCCTCCACCCTCAACTCCAGGACCAGTGCTGTCCTGACAGACTGCCTGTCGGACATCAAGTCCTGGATGAGGGCAAATTTCCTACAGTTGAATGTGAACAAGACTGAGGCCCTCCTGATTGGCTCGCGCCAGCGCCTCAGCACCTCAGGCTCTGGCAACATCAACCTCCATGGTTGCACACTTCAACTCGCCAGTCAGGAACCTCGGTGTCTTGTTCGACCCTCAACTGTCTTTTCTCCCCCATATTCAAGCCATGACCCACTCTGCCTTTCCTCACCTCCGTAACATCGCCCGACTCCGCCACTACCTCACCCCTCAGGCCGCTGAGACTCTTGTTCATGCCTTCATCACCTCCAGACTCGACTATGCAAACACCCTGCTGGTCGGCCCTCCCAACTCCTCCCTCCACAGGCTGCAGATAATCCAGAACTCTGCAGCTCATGTCCTCTCCCGAACCAAACTCCGTGACCACATCTCGCCCGACTCCATTGGCTCCCTATCCTTCAGAGGATCCAGTTCAAGATCCTGGTCCTCACATGCAAAGCCTTCCATGGCCTCGCCCCACCCTACCTCTGCGACCTCTTAACCCCCTGCCAACCTGCCTGTTCCCTCCGCTCAACCGGCTCCGGCCTGCTCCACGTCCCCGACCCACCCGCCCCACCATTGGCGGGAGAGCCTTCAGCCACTCTGCCCCCAACCTCTGGAATTCCATCCCTCAGTCACTCCGCCCTGCCCCCTCCTTAGCTTCCTTCAAGTCCCGCTTCAAGACCCTCCTCTTCGACAATGCCATTGGTCACCCCCCCTTCCCTTCCCCTCCCTTACCCTTCCCAACCCCAACTCGGGTCTGAAATGCTGTACTCTGTCCAGCGCCTTGGGACGTCCTCCCAACGTGAAAGGCGCTATACAAATGTAATGTTGTTGTTGAAAATGGAACAACCAATCTGCAATCTATACATTCCTAGTTTCGGGATGATTGGCCCACAAAATACATGGTTAGTCCACTTTACATTGAATCCTCTGAAGCACCTCCCAACATGAAAAGCATTATATCAAATACGAAGATTGTTTACTTTATTTATTATTTATCAGACTTTCCTTTTTTAGTTTAATCCGACCAGACTTTACGGAATTCAGGAAATCCTGCCTGGCATCCAGCGAGTTATTGAACTCTTTTCCTGGCAGAGCTCACTGTAAAGCTCTGTTACAGAGTAATCTTGTTGTGCAGTGTTTTCTATTCAAGTGCATAGAAAAGCAACCACTCACCTAATGACTGTCGAGAGGAAATGCAATGCTCATCAGCATAATCCTGCACCTCCCAGGTGGATTTCAGAACAATACTTGCACTAAATGAGAGCAGAACAAGCAGTGATCTCTGCAGAGTTTTAACAGTGCATAAGTCCAGCTCCTCACAAAAAAATGTAGTCACTCAATCCACGGCTGTTTGTGGGACACTGCTGTGCACTGTTGGCTGCTGCATTTCACCCACAAAATACACAGCCAATTCAATTTACAATATATTATGTGAAGCGCTTTGAGACATCTCATCAACGCTACATCATATGAAAGGATTATTATTATTATAGTGCCTGAACCGCTCAAATCTGAATGTATCATTCAAGTACTGTGCTACATCTGGCAGAGCTCACTAAATTCATCTTAATCCCTCTTTGTGTTCCACCAACTAACCTTGTTTATGCTAGACTGCCTTTTTCAATATCCTCATCCGTATCTACCTCCTTTTGATTGAGCCATTCCATCTATCCAGGTGGTTCACACTCACTATTATACCACAATGATGCACTAACCACCATGATTGTCTAGATGTGTAGTTTCTTTTCTCCATGATAGAGATGTCATCTCTCACAACTTGTCTGAGAGATATTTTCCACCCTACCCATTGGAAAGCAGGTTGGAATGTGGGTCCATCTGAAGCACATATCTGGAATCAATGAATAGCCAGACCAGACTTGCTAGGGACATTTGCTCAATGTTGTGGGACTTGCTGGCAGTGATACTTCAAACACCATTATTTGGAATAAAGATAAGTGTTCCCTTAATCATGATTTAGTGTGAATAATTAGGTATCTGGCACAAGCACTGGGAATATAATATGTATCATTAGATAGAGATGCATAATTACACAGTAGCTTTGTCACAATGTCACCACAACAGTCATTAAAGTGGGGGTTGTAATGGATGCTTCTATAATTGTGCGTTGGAAAATTCTGGGTGGATTAAGCATCATATTTTTGTGTTCTATTTTTATTTGCAGAATGTGCTGGCTGTGGGGATGAAATCAAACACAGGCAGTCACTGCTTGCTCTGGAGAAGCAGTGGCACGTGAGCTGTTTCAAATGCCAGGCCTGTGGAGTTGCCCTGACAGGAGAGTACATTAGCAAGTAAGTGTGTTCCCTGTCATGTGCTTTATCTGTAGGTTAAAGGGATCGTTGCTCAGTAACACGTCAGTGTCACCGTGAAACCACTCTGGGTTTATTCCTGCATGAGCATTTGAGAACACAGATTTAAGATAATTGGCAAAAGAACCAGAGCGGAGACGAGTAGAATTATTTTTTTACATAAAGTTATGGTCTGGAATGCACTGCCTGAAAGGGTGGTGAAAACAGATTCAATACAAGGTTTCAAAATTGGAATTGGAGAAGTACTTGAAAAGGAACAATTTGCAAGGCTATGGGGTAAGAGCGGGGGAGTGGGATGAGTTGAATAGCTTTTTCAAAGAGCCGGCACAGGCACGATGGGCCAAATGGCCTCCCTAGAATCATAGAATTATACAGCACAGAAGAAGGCCATTCAGTCCATTGTGTCCGTGCCGGCTCTTGAAAGAGCTATGCAAATTAATCCCACTCCCCTGCTCTCTCCCCATTGCTGTGCAAATTTGTCCTCCCCAAATACCTCTCCACTTCTCTCCCAAAAGTTGTTATCGAATCTGCTTCCCCCACCCTTTCAGTCAATGCATTCCAGATCCAAACAACTTGCAGTGTGAACAAATTTTTCCTCATCTCCTCTCTGGTTCTTTTGACGTCTATCTTAAACCTGTGTTTTCTGGTTATTAATCCACCCACCAGTGGAAACAGTTTCTCCCTGTTCACTCTATCAAATCCCCTCATAATTTTGAACAACTCTTTTAAATCTTCCCTTAACCTTCTGCTCCAAGGAGAACAATCCTAACTTCTCTAGTGTCTCCACATAACTCATTCCTGGTACCATCATGATGAATCACCTTTGCACCCTCTCCAAGATCTTGACATCCTTCCTAAAGTGCAGTGCACAGAATTGAACATAGTACTCTAGCTAAGGCCTAACCAGTATTTCATCATAACTTCATTACTTTTGTATTCTATGCCCCTATTTATAAAGCCAAGGATGCTTTTTAACAACTTTGTCTACCTATTCTGTCACCTTCAAAGATTTGCTTATCTGAACTCTCAGGTCTCTCTGCTCTTTCACCCCCTTTACGATTGTACCATCATCTTATATTATCTCTCCTCATTCTTCCAAAATGCATCACTTTGCATTTCTCTGCATTAAATTTCATTTGCCATATGTCTGCCGATTTCACCAGTCTGTCTAACTTTACCTGCAGTCTGCTACTATCCTTCGCACTTTTTACTACTTTTCCTAGCTTTGCATCATCTGCAAACTTGGAAATTATACTCCCTATATCCTGGTCCAGGTCATTTATATAGATTAAAAAGAGCAGTGGTCCTAATACCGACCACTGGTGGACACCATTGTATACTTCCCTCCAGTCAGAAAAACAACCGTTCACCACAACTCCCAGCCAATATTGTATCCATGCTGCCACTGTCCCTTCAGTACCGTGGGCTTCAATTTTGCTAACAAGTTCGTCTGTGCTGTAAGATTCTATTCTATGATTCTATGAGCCGAACCTTAAAATTACTTGCCAGTCATTTAGATTACATTAAAAAGCATATTTAATATGTATCTCTATTAGTGAGGTTGGGATTAAAGGGGATCTATTCCCATTAGTTGCACGTGACTGCTCACTATTTCATGGTATCTGATGATAAACAGATAATAAAAAATAATAATTTTGTCACCTCAACCCACAATTATTTGTGGGACATTGCTGAATGCCATGTTTTGGCCACAAAATATACAGCCAATTCACTTTACAGTATATTCTGTAAGCGCTTTTAATCTATATCAATGTATATCTTTTTAATCTGTATCAAATGCCAGGATTATTATTAATGTAATCCGCACCCTGCTCCAGCAACGACAGGAGAAGCTTGCAGCTCCTTTGCTTTAGTGTTATCCATCAGTCCCCTGACAGCATCCCATCAGAGTGATCAAGTCTTTAAATAAGATGCTCTGCCTTGAAAACCATAAAGAGTACATCAAGTTAGAACGTTTGCTGAAATGTATATTTATTTATTATCTATTTATGGAAAAGAAACCTACTCGTGACATGCCTCGCAGAACAAATCTATCTCCTGTAAAATGGTGCTACTAGCAAAAACATCTGGGTTTAGTATTTCAGCTGCTTTTCAAAGAAACACAATGCTTTGCCATTTTGCTCACTTTCTGGGCACTTCAAAGCCATTTGCTCACAGTGCTTCAAGCGCAGTGTTATTTCACCTGGAATGTTTCAGCTCCATGTAAGAAAAAAGCATAACTTTGCAGTTTTCAAAGCGCTGCCAATACATTTTTTAACATGGAACATCTGCCCCAATTGTGGTCACTGCATTTCTGCAGGTGACCATTTATAAAATGAAGCATGTAGAGATGAAGTTTATCGAAGCCTGGAAAATAAAAAGAGTCACATCCCTTCCCCCCACCTCCTAAAAAATAAAATCCTTGCATTTGATATAGTGCCTTATCATATCATTGAGACATTTCAAATCACTTCACAGAATATACTGTAAAGCAGATTGACTGTATTTTGTGAGCAAAACGCGGCAGCCAATTGCAAACAGCAGTCATGGATGGAGTGAACACGTTTTTTGCAGGGGGGGAGGGATTATTATCCAGAAAGTGATCCACCAATAGACTAACAACCGGATTCCTACTTACTACTAGGTAAACCGAGGCATGTGGAGTAAGGAAACTTGCCTAAGATTTCTCCCTGACTAGGAATTGAACCCGGGTCCTCTAGCTTGCAAGGCAAGCTCTCTAACCACTACACTACAGGACTTCACAAAAAATTTTAACTTTTAAGAAAAGCACTGTATTATAGGAGACGAGTTTTGATTCCAGGCTTCGCTATTGGGTTCTGAGTTATTATCTTTCTCTTTCTCTCCCAAAGGGATGGAATTCCTTACTGTGAAACTGATTACCATTCTCGTTTTGGAATTAAATGCGAGACCTGCAACAGATACATCAGTGGCAGAGTGCTGGAGGTAAGTAACCATTTAGGAAAAAAAGGATCTTTTATTGTTTTTCTTGCCTCAGATATTGCCCTGTGTGTACCCGATACGTAGTCACATGGTTGGCTTTGATACCGTGGGAACGTGGTTGCACCCTGGTTCCACACAGAAGAGCAAAGGGATGATCCCTAATGATCGAGGAATGAGCTGTGAGAAATGATTAGACGAAGTAGGGCTTTTTTGTCTTGAGAGAAGACAATTTAGAGGGGAGCTCTATTTAGAGGGGAGCTCTATTTAGAGGGGAGGTGTATAAAATTTTAAATTGGATTGAAAAGGTAAAATCAGAACAATAGTTTATGATGCACTGAGACAGTAGAACAAAAGGACATGAGTTTGGAGTAGCAATGGGTGATTTCAGAACAGATGCCAGGAAGTTTTTCTTTACTCAGAGGGTAATTAACAACTGGAACAGGGTAGCTGAGGCCAGGATACTGAGACTCATTATAACGAAGCTTGAAGCTGTGATGGTTGGACAATAGAAGCGGCCTTTTACAGAAAGGCCTTCTTCATCCGAACCGATCTTGTGACTGCTGAATGAGCAAGATATATTGGTTACGTTTTCATTTTTAAACTAATTAGATTTTTTTCCCCTGTACTTTTCGTCCATCACCTCCTCTTCTACAGACACTTGATTCCTTTGGCTGGAGGTCATTTCCATGGCACCTGATCCAAGCAGTCATTACTCACATGTGAGCTTTGACAGAGAAACTATTGAGTCTCAGAGAGAGCATCACATCCAGCCTTGATGTTGTCCTCACACATTGATACTTCTGTCAGCTGTCACTGGCTAACAAACAGGATTCCTCTCTAACCGGGCACATTGAGTCCTTAGGTTCACCTTTGATGAAATCAGCTGACCCAGTGTGGATCAAGAATCAAAACTGGCACTTTCCCCTCTCAGTTACTCACTGAAACGGCACATTGACCCAGCTTAGAAAATCATTGTTAAGCATTCTCTGATACTGTTTGTGGAATCTTGCTGTCTGTTCTTTTAGATGGCTAGCAAATAAATTGTTGCCAAATCTATGCAAGAAATAAATCAATGGCGGATTTCTTGTCAAGATTTGCACAAGTTACCCAGTGCCTCGCCATGCGACAGGTTGCGAGGAAAAGTGGTTGAGATCAGGACACTGGGATTCATTTAAAAAGCAGCTTGATACAGTAATGGGGGATGAAATGGTGGGTGTTCTGAAGGGATGAGATCAGATGGGCTTTGGATCTTTGGATCGTTCTTCATCCAAACCAATGAGTTTCACAGTTTGGTCGCTGATCTCCTTTATGGTAGGTAAGGAGATGTAATTTTGTTAGATTCAGAAACCTGGAGAAACAGATTACACGCAATCAGCAGTAATTGTGTGAAATGTTAACAGTTATTCCAGGTTGGATGGGGATGATGCTGTTTATTAGTTTAACTTGTCAGATCTTTGCAGAGGAGCACAAAGTGAAATATTTTAATGTCAGCGCACTTAACGTTGTGGCAAAACTAGGCACAATGATTACACTAATCAAAGCTAAACACCTGCTGTTTGCAATGACCTGAAGCAGTTTGTTAGGTATTAAAAGGCTTTTATTTTGTTTTGCCACAAACAATTTTCAAGTGAAACGAAAGCTGAGGAAGCATCATTTCATTAACTGCTGAGACCCTGGGCTGTATTGTTACAAATAGTCAACATCACAAACTCTGAACTTGTCCCCTCAAAACCTTCGAGTTCCACCAATGGCTGAGTCAGTAAATAACAATAATAATAATAGTAATAATAATTATCCTTGCATTTATATAAATCCTTATCATGGGGTTGAGATGGCTCAAAGCACTTCGCAGTATATATACTGTAAAGTGGATTGACTGTATTTTATGGGCACAAATTGCTGCATATTAGCATCTAAATGGCGCAATTGCCATAAGAATTTCTAAATAACCGATATTTACGCAAAACCTGGAATTTGGCACACGCACTGAACTCGGCTTCCAGGAAGCAGTGCCGGCGAAGGGCAGGAGATTGACATCCGAACACTGTCCCGAGTCTTACACTTTACAAATACTTTTGCAGATCTGGTAATTTAGACCCTAATATACGGATCATTCACTAGCACCAGCTGATCTCCCTACAAGAGAGTTGATGATCAGACCATGAGGCAAAATGGAAACCATGAGCAGTCATGCCTCTTTCCCCTTTCGTGTTGTTTTATTGATTGAAGAAGGCAGCCCAAACTCAAAGCAACCAAAATGACCAATTTGAGTAGTGACAGTTTAGCCTGAATGCCCCGCAGTCACTTTCTGAATCACGCTTATCTTTCACCCACTTCAATGAAACAGCGGCAGAGCCTTTCAGCAGTTAAGCTACTATCTCCTTGACATCTGTGAGAGAACCTGACTCGGAAATCAGAGGCTGTCACCAACAATTATAATTTCTTGTTTAATTCAAGGTCCCATTAATAGGGAGCTTCCTGCTATGGCTATGACCTGATTGGCTCACGTTAGCGCCTCTGCACCTCAGGCGCTGACAGCATCAGCATCCAAGGCTGCACTCTCCACCTCTCAAAGCCAGTCAGGAACCTCGGGGTTCTGTTCGACCCTGAGCTGTCCTTTCTTCCCCACATCTGCACCATAACTGACCACCTTCCACCACCTCCGGAACATCGCCAGACTACGGCACTACCTCACCCCTCACGCTGCTGAAACACTGGTCCACGCCTTTATCACCTCAAGACTGGACTACAGGAACTCTCTCTTCGTCGGCCTTCCCGGCACCTCCCTCCACAAGCTGCAGGTCATTCAGAACTCTGCAGCTCGTGTACTGTCCCGCACCAGGCTTCGCGACCACATCACTCCCACCCTCACTCGCCTCCACTGGCTCCCCATCCCCCAGAGGATCGAATTCAAGATCTTTATCCTCACCTACAAGGCTATTCACGGCTTTGCTCCCTCCTACCTCTCCGACCTACTATCCCCCTACTTACCTGCCCGTACCCTCCGTTCCTCTGGCTCCGGTCTGCTCCACATCCCCCGCCCTAACCGCCCTACCATCGGTGGCCGGGCCTTCAGCCTCTCAGCCCCTCGACTCTGGAACTCCATCCCCCAGTGCCTTCGCCTTGCCTCCTCCCTTTCCTCCTTCAAGGCCGGTCTCAAGACCTTAGTCTTCAACCGTGCCTTCACCTCCCCTCTCGACTCTCTAACCCTCCTCGCTCCCTGCCCTCCCCTCACCCTGACCATTTCCCCCCTGCTCGGGTCCCGACCCAACTGTCCAGCGCCTTGGGACGTCCTCCCGACGTGAAAGGTGCTCTATAAATGAAATCTTGTTGTTGTTGAAAGATGTCCACACGAACAACAAGCATTGCCTTCTTCCACTTTCCATCCATGGCTGTAATCTGTTTGCTCTTTTCTTATTTTCCGTTCCAATGGAAAGAGGTGTGGGGCACTCCTGCTTGTGTCATGGAGATCATTGAGTAATTAAAAGCAACTTGATTCACAATTCTCTATCGCATTCTTGCCAGACAGCCAGGATTAATATCTCTATTTGTGTGTTGCACAGCTGTGCCACTCAGTTGCTGTGTCAGTGAGGCTCTCAGTTGCCATAAGTCATAGTCCCTGCATGACTGGGAAAAATTTACATACAGCTGGCCTGCAAAACACAAACCATAGAGATGTTCCTAACAACTTCAAACTTGATCAGGGCATAAGGTGATTACGAGAATATGATTATTAAGTCATCCCATTTTCTTTTCCTACTGGAAATTATGTCAAATACAGACAATGCCTTTGCATCCACCGATTGATGTCACTCCACTGCCTAGATATCTCTTGTTAAGTCAGTAACAAATGGGGCGATTTGGAATGTTCATCAGTCCTTGAAGTGTGTTAAAAAGCAATCCTTTCTGTCCCATTTACCAGCCCTTTCCCCTTACCCTGTCGTTTACTCCCATTTAGATTTGTGACATCTGGGCATCTTTTAACATGAGAATATCCCAATGGATTCCAGGAGTTAGGAAGCCCAGAGAGATTCTGCTCTGCTATGGGTGAACCATGCAGATACTGAACCTGCCTCATCCAGGAGAGGGGTCAGGACTGGAACTCCCAACTCTTCCATCCCACACTGATCCCATATGCTGGACGGCTCACTGGTACAAACTCAGCACCATCTGTAATGCTGCCAATAAACAGCAGTAACATGTGTTTTCTTTAAACCAGTGGTGGCCAACCTTGTTGGTTGATTTACAAATCTCGATTGCATTCTTGCCAGACTGCCTCTTTGGTAGGCCAACAAAATAAATGTTTCTTGATTCAATATTTCTTGATTCATGGCATAAATCTATGCTATTTTGTTATTTCTATGATTATTTTGTTGGCCAACCAAAAAGGACCAGGCCATTTGGACCAACTAGTCTGTGCCAGTGTTTATACACCACGCAAGCCCCTACACCCTGCTATTCTTTCTTCTATACTCTATTCTCTCCTTCATGTCTTCTTAAGGTTCTTCTTAAATATGTTGATGTGTTCTGCTTCAACGATGGCTTCCAACAGTGAGTTCAACATTCTCATCACCCTATGTGTGAGTTTAAGTGCCTCTGAAACTCCCCTTTCCGAAACTTCCCTTATCTATCAAGTTGAATAATTCAGGATGTTAATAGTGGAGTTCTGTAACTCAGTGGTTAGAGCACTCGCTTCACAAGCGAGAGACCTGAGTTCAATTCCAGGCAGAGGGCGAAACCTTGGGCAAGTTTCCTTACTCCACACGCCTAATAATAATCCCTCAAGAAAAAAAATAATAAATTGGTCACTTCAATCCATGACTGTTTATGGGACACTGCTGTGTGCAATTGGCTGCTGCATTTTGCCCATAAATATACAGTCAATTCACTTTACAGTCTATTCTGTGAAGTGCTTTGAGATGTCCGGAAGATGCGAAAAGCACTATATCAAATGCAAGGATTATTATTATTAGTGCCGCGATGTGGGCCATTTTGCCATTTTGGACTCCCAGTGTTAACATGGCACTCCCACATGAATTATAAGACAGACAGAGAGTAAAGTGAAGTGTCGCAGTTATAAACAAGTTTAAATATTGTGTTTTGTCATGACTGGAGATATTGTAGGTGACACAGATTCGACACTGGATTTATTTAAAACCATAAGACATGTACAGTGCAGAAGAAGGCCATTCGGCCCATCATGTGCGTCATGTCTCTTTTAAAAAGCAATCCTTTCTGTTCCATTTACCAGCCCTTTCCCCATACCCTGTCGTTTACTCCCGTTTAGATTTGTGACATCTGGGCATTTTTTAACGTTATTTTTAACGTCGTCCTATTCTTGCTTATCATCCTAAAACGTAATTCAACCCCGCCAATATTTCTGCCACCATTAAATCTTTCCACAGTCCAAACACAGCTCATTGATGAGTTCCATTTAACTACGAAATGTTGGGCAAGTTTCCTTACTCCACATGCATCAATTTACCTAGCAGTAAGTAGGAACCCGGTTGTTAGTCGATTGGCAGATCACTTTTCCCTGGGTAATAATTCCTTTAAAAAACTAATACATTTGTCACTTCAATCCATGACTGTTTGTGAGATACTGCTGTGCACAATTAGCTGTCGTGTTTCACTCACAAAATACACAGTCAATTAATTTTACAATATATTCTGTGAAGTACTTTGAGACAGTTCGAAGATGTGGTAAGGCGCTATATCATATGCAAGGATTATTATTATTATTATCTATGGATAAATACCACAATCCGAGATGGAGACACATCAAGCCCTGTCAATATGTCAAACTCCATTTATCCAATGGTTAAACAAGCCGATAAATCTCATGTTATTTTGTCATTTGATATCCATGTGAGCTAAACGGCACTTGCCCTTTATTATCTGCATCCCTGATTTCAATCTGTCAACGATGTCAGTTTTATCTGGCTTTTTAAAAAACATATGTTTAAAAACATATGTTTATTTTTAAAAAATCACATTTTAATATTGTGACCAGTCAAAGTGATTTAATAAGGCATAAAGTATTCTTTTAATAAACTCTATGATGATCTTTAAAGTTAAGTCTCTGATTCCCCTTGAGACCTATTATTAGTCGTATATTCTACAGTGCTATCACCAAAGCCATGAGATGAACTAATAATTGCTACCATCGCAGACTTGTGGTTTCTAACTGCCAGCAGTATGCATAATACTGAGCTGACTCCACCTTAACTCCTCGTTAATCGAACTTTTTTTTATAATTTATAATAACATGTGATTTGGAACAGTGGATGTTGTTCTGCAGTTAGTTATATGCTTTCCTGACCTTATCTATCAAGTTGAATAATTTAGGTTGTTAACAGTCCTGGGCTATAGATATGTAATTTGGTGCTCCCAGCATAAGCATGGCACTCCCTGGTCTATCATAAGTCAGTTGATTTTAACTCTCGTTCCAATGGGAATTGTGTGGGTACCATAGGATAGTTTTTGTGAAGAGATCACAGAATAAAAATTCAATTCAGCGTTATATTGGGTATTCATGATTATTTTAGGGAAATCTAACTTCGCCAAAGCCCATGCGTGTATGGCCGAACTGAAGGATTGCCAGGAACACAAGAATGCAAACAAATCATTTTTTTTCAAAAGTACCTTTTGAAATAATTGATCAGAACAAGACCTTTAATAGGATATCGCATTTATTTTAAGAATATTCAAGGAGCACTTTTTTTCAAAATTGCTGATATTATTTGAGCGGTGGATTTTACAATCTGGTTTGTAAATTATATCCATAATTGTTCTTATTTTCTATTCTGTACCTCAAATGTGATGGATTGAAATCAGCACCAAAAAAAATTGAGTTAGTAGAGTATTGGTATGTTATGAATTCCCATCTGTTCAGGTGCATGTTAAAGATCCCATGGCACTACTCAAAAAAAAAAAGGGAATTTCTCCTGGTGTCCTGGCCAACAACGCCCCAGATAAAATGGATCATTCACTTTACGGTTACTTGTGGAACATTGCATTTGCCTACATAATGCACAGTCATCACACTTTACAGTAAGTCCCGTGAAGCGCTCTGAGATTTCTCAACGACATAAGGCACAATAGCAAATACATTATATATTATGTAAAATTGAGACCTTGACTTTGGAATTGTGTGCTCTCCAGCGACCCCTGCTGGAGGTGCGCTTTTGTGCAAGCATTGGGCAAATTTTTGACAGTGACAAGTGATGGCTTTTGCAATAGATTAACTTGCCAGACAGACAGACCCTCTCAAGGCTTGTGCACAAACCATGAGAAAGCATTCACTGCACTAATCACATAATAAGAAAAAGGAGCTACAAATGCCTTACAGGAGATGAGGAGAAAGAATCCACAATAAGAAACAAACTTAGGATTTTACAATCTGGCAAGATAATATTCATTGTCAAGAGGTTAACAGTGCATGGTACACCCCCTCCCCCCACAGTGTACGGGGATGATAAAATGATGTTCGTAGCTGGACAGAGGTGTTCGGGTATCGGAATATTGTTACATCTTAAAACATGAGCCTGTGGTGCACGCTGATTGAAGTGTACTTTTCGTTTAATGTCTCCAGGCTGGCGGCAAGCACTACCACCCCACCTGTGCCAGATGTGCCAGATGTCACAAAATGTTCACAGAGGGAGAGGAAATGTACCTAACAGGTAAAAACACTAGGTAGCAACAAATAAGCTCAACAACAACACACAAAAAAACTTTGGAATCCTGGATGTGTCTGATGTGAATAGCTTCTAGGAGACAGTTATATACAAAAGTTTGGTAAAACTTACAGCAGTTGTCACAAATTAGACTCAGCATTTTTCTGTAACTATTTACATGAGTTAAGGAGCTCAAGTGAAAAACCTTTTGCAATTGAAACTGAAATACTGTTGTGGTAGTTTTCTAATAAGGAAAATATGTATACTTTACTCTTCGTACAATAATAATAATAATCCTTGCATTTCACACGGCATCTTTCATGTAAGGAGGATGTCTCAAAGCGCTTCAAAGGATATAATAATAATAATCCTTGCATTTAATATAGCGCTTTTCACGTCTTCTAGACGTCTCAAAGCGCTTCACAGAATATGCTGTAAAGTGAATTGACTATATTTGTGGGCGAAACACGGCAGCCAATTGCGCACAGCAGTGTCCCACAAACAGTCGTGGATTGAAAATGACCAATTTATTATTGCTTTGTTTTGGTGGGATTATTATTAGGTGTGTGGAGTAAGGAAACTTGCTCAAGGTTTTGCTCTGCCTGGAATTGAACCCAGGTGTCTCGCTTGCAAGGCGAGTGCTCTAACCACTGAGCTACAGGACTCCACAAATATATACTGTAAACAACAACAACAATAAAATTACATTCATAGAGCGCCCTTCACATCGGGAGGATGTCTCAAGGCGCTAGACAGTCAGGAGTCAGGACCCGAGCATGGGAGAGGGGTGGGGAAAGAGTAAGGGAAGGCAGAGAGGTGGGAGGGTGCCTGAAGTCAAAATCAAAGAGGAAGGTCTTGAAACCAGCCTTGACAGAGGCAAGGGAGGAAGTGAGGCGAAGGGACTACGGGATGGAGTTCCAGAGTGTGGGGGCAGAGAGGCTGAAAGCTCGGCCACCGATGTTAGGGCGGGTCGGGTGGGAGACATGGAGCAGACCGGAGCCTGCTGAACGGAGGGAGCGGGCAGGTTAGTAGGGAGTCAGCAGGTCAGAGAGGTAGGAGGGGGCAAATCCATGGATGGCCTTGAAAGTGAGGACGAGGATCTTGAATTCGATCCTCTGAGTCGGGCGAGGGTGCGAGTGATGAGTCACAGAGCCTGGTGCGTGAGAGCACACGAGCTGCAGAGTTTTGGATGATATGCAGCCTGTGAAGGGAAGAGTTGGGAAGACCAATAAGGAGAGAGTTCCCGTAATCGAACCTTGATGTGACAAATGCATGGGTGAGGGTCTTGGCAGCCTGAGGGGTGAGGCAGTGGTGGAGTCTGGCAATGTTGCGGAGGTGGTAGTAGGCAGTGCTGGTCATGGCGCGGATGTGGGGGAGAAAGGATAGTTCAGGGTCAAACAAGACACCCAGGTTCCGGACTGGCTTAGTGAGGTTGAGTGTGCAGCCGTGGAGGCTGATGCTGTCAGCTGCGGAGGTGCTGGCGCGAGCCAATTCGGACATGCTGACGTTAATTTGGAGAAAGTTGTCCCTTGTACAAGACTTGATGTCGGACAGGCAGTTGGTCAGGACACCAGTAGCCCTGGAGTTCAGGGTGGAGGAAGAGAGATAGAGTTGTGTGTCAACCGCATACATGTGGAAATTTACCCCATGTCTGCGGATGATGTCACCAAGAGGGAGCATGTAGAGGGTGAAGAGGAGGTAACTGAGGACAGAGCCCTGAGGAATGCCGCACGAGATGGTGCAGGGGCTGGAGGAGAAGCTGTTTGCAGAGATGAAGTGGAGGCGGTGTGAAAGGTAGGACCTGAACCAGTCAAGGACAGAACCTTGAAGGTTAAGTTGGGAGGAGAGGCGGTGGAGGAGGATTGAGTCATCCACAATATCAAAGGCAGCGGAGAGGACGAGGAGGCAGAAGGAGCCCTGGTCACACATGGTCAGGATGACATTTGTGACCTTGACCAGAGCAGTTTCCGTGGGAGCTGAGAGGCGACGGCTCTCTCAAGGACCTTAGACAGAAAAGGGAGGTAGCTGGATAGCTGTGATGGGTCAAGGGAAGGTTTCTTCAAGGTGGGGGTGATAGTGGCTGTTTTGAGGGGGCCAGGAGCAGTGCCAGATGACAGGGAGAGGTTGATGATGTCGGCGAGTAGTGGGGCAAGGAGGTGGAGCTGGGATTTAAGGAGAGCACTCCCTCCCTTCCCTCCCCTCACCCTGACCATTTCCCCCCCAATGCTCGGGTCCTGACCCAACTGTCCAGCGCCTTGAGACGTCCTCCCGACGTGAAAGGCGCTCTATAAATGAAATCTTGTTGTTGTTGAGGGGTGGGGATGGGGTCCAGGGAGCAGGTGGTGAGCTTCATGGAGGATATGGTGGTGATGACAGAGGAGGGGGTGACAGGTTCAAAGGTGTGGAAGGAGGGGTGGGTAGTGGTCGGAGTGTTGTGGGTGGAAGTGGCAACTGAGCGGATTCCCTCGATTTTGGACTTGAAGAAGTCCAGCATTTCCTCGCAGTGGGAGTCGGAAAAAAGAATCTGCGAGGCATGGCGGGGTTGGCGGAGGAGCCGGTTGGTGGTGGAGAACAGGAGCTTGGGGTTGCTCTTCGCCTCCAGGATTAACCTGGAGTAGAAGAACGATTTGGCAGAGGAGCTTTGTAGGCAAACAGGGAAATTTAAGCAGAATCTTTCACCTCCCACTTCTTCCCTCCTTCACTTTCCAGCTCAATCCTCACTGTTGTAAAATGCTCCAAGACCTTATTCTATGTTAAAGTTGAGGTATACATGCAAGTTGTTGCTGCTGTTGTTTTAAGTAGCAAAATGTAGAGTGATTTACAATTTTACAAATTTACAACACTTGCTTTTATATAGCACCCCTTACGCAGGATAGCACCCAGCGGCTTGGAATTTAATCCCATTTCATCACTGTGGTGTGGTAGCTGAAACCATATTTCAGGCTGCATGTTGGCACTGACTTAGAGCAGCCATTGATAAGCTGTGGAGAGATGGTTAGAAGCCTTCTGTGACCTGCTGGTTGCTATTACACAGAAAAGCCAATGTGTTTAAAGTTCACTTTCCTTCTTTCACCAGAGCATGTCAGTCATAACCCAAAAAAGCTCTTCAATTTCGAGCCAGTAAAACCAATTTTATGAAATCTCGATTGCAAAATGATTCCTAGAGCTGGAAATAATGGGTCGTTCTTTATGTGTTGTTGCTTCTTAAAGTAATTGCTTCATTCACCAATCCTTCTTGTCTCAGCACAGACATGACTTGTTGAAGTGGATGTTTTATCCACATGGATTAGTGGTGACTGTGGTGATGTAGACATCGCTGGCCAGTATATTGGGAGGAGGACACTTGATCTCAATAAATCACATGTAACAACAACTTGCACTTATATAGCATCCTCCACATAGGTTAGCGTCTCAGAGCACTTAACAGTGGTGAAGCCTGACTCCGAGCTAGGTGGGGCAGTGAGTGGTGCGGGGTGGCCTTAAGCACAGTTGAAGAGGAAAGTCTTCAGGTGGGACTTGAAAGAGGAGGCTACACAGGATTGAGGGAGAGTGTTCCAGAGTTTTGGGGAATAGTGGCTGACAGCGATGGTGGGGCGAAGGGTGCAAGGGACGAGACCTCTGGATGCTTAAGATATGTAATATGCAGCCAAGAGAGTGCTATGCTAATTGCAGTTGGTACACAGAGGGCACCTCAGGAGACCAGGAAAGTAATAATAATAATCTTTGCATTTGATATAGTACCTTATCACATAGTCGAGATGTCTCAAAGAGCTACCTTAAGTAGGCTTAAGGTGGCTGTTGTCTGAAGCTCTGGCAGATATGCACTCTGCTTGAATTGTCCATTCTCTTTCAGGCTGTGAAGTGTGGCATCCTCAATGTAAACAGGCCGCTCGGATGGAAAAGAAGCTTCGGGTGAGCTCATCAACCAGGACACTTAACACGCCGTTTAGAAACACTTTTTTTGTCCATCTAAACAGTGTGATTAGCTATATTATATAAATGATAAATAACACTGAGTCAGGAATTTTTAAACCAAATAATCCCCACAGGATAGAAGCCTCACACAGGGATTTTCTTTCTCGTAAACCTCTAGGCTAATGCTATTCATTCTTTATGTGCACAATAGCTTGGCTTAGCTGATCCACTACCATACAAGTCTGTTGTTGCCAAAGGCAACCCTGCTAACAGTGCAATACAGTAAAAAAATTACGGCATAACAATGGAGCTGACAAGTCAAGGAAATCCCTCCTTGTGTTGTTGCAAACATGAATCATTTATTCACGTTAACATAAAGGTGTTTACGTTTGCATGCAGTTTTTTTTACACTGAATTAAGGGCGTTTAATAGTTTTACAGTGTGTGGCTTTTTTGAAAGCTGTACTGTAAAACACAGTGTTCAATTTGCGAGTGTCCAACATGTGCAGTACCAAATGGGGCTGATTAAGTTTATGTGGGAAAAAGAACAGATGGAATAGAAATCAGACAAGGAGGGGGGAGGGGAGAGAGTGAGAAAGAGATTCAGAACAAGAGCACATGTCCAAGTGTACAGGGGGAAAAAAATAGTAGGAAGGGGTTTGGCAAAAGCACTCAAAAGACATTGCAACAAGAATAACAAAGTCCAGTTAACTTTGCAATGTAGAATTGTAATTCTACATGCTTGTTATATATGAATAGTTCTACACAGTTCTTTGACCAGCAATTTGTCCAGAGATACAGTATATCCATTTTGTTTGTGTGGAAGCAGGAGATTGAATGAAAGAGATATCAGTGAGTTTGGGCAGATGGGAATCTAATTGTGTCCTTATGGCTTTGCAGCATAGACGGACGTCTGAAACCTCCATATCTCCGCCTGGATCCAGCATCTCAGGATCACCCAACCGAGTCATCTGTGTACGTCTATGTAACTTTAGCTCATTCAGTAAACGCTATTCTCAGAAATGATTTGCGCTGTTAGCGGAACTGATTTAAGATCAATTGCAAACTCTGTGTGTGTCTTCTATGTTTATAAGGTCACGCAAACAAAGCTTCAGAGGGTCTCTTGTCTCATGGGTTCCCCCCCATTATTATTATGTACTCCCAATGGACAGTTGCGCAGAATGGGATTGGATATGATTAAACAGCCCAAGAGACCATGGTCATCAGCAATAATACCCTTATTTCTGCAAAGTAACTTGAGCAAGTTGTCTGCCTCGACAATACAGTCTACAGTACATACAGAATCTGAACACTTCAGCTCACAAAATGATCTCTCTATTACCCTCAACACAGAAACCCGCTGGATGAACCCAGACCATAACAATCCTATGTGTGAGTAGGTCAAGTCAGGAACAATAATGTAATGGGATTGCTCCTGTTTAGCTTCCCACTGCTGGGATTTACTACAGCTAGTTACTTGATCATAGCTTCCTTCTTTCTCAAATCTTACTCGCTCCTGGTAGCTCTTGTGAAAATGCCTTGTGCCTGGTACATTGCAGCTACACATTAGGTCTGATCTTCGCTGGGATCTCTAAGAAACAATACAATATTAAAACTAGATCTACAAGCAGTGTTGGTGCAGAAATCATGTGTGTCCACTAGTACCCAGTGCGGACTTTGTAGCTGGTTTCACAATAGTGAGAGGTGACCGGAGGAGTTTTTTGTGCTTGATCTAAAGCTGGAAGCTTGTCTAACAACAATAAAACAACAACTACAAATTACATTTGTATAGCGCCTTTCATGTCGGACGGACATCCCAAGGCACTGGACAGTCAGGGATATGGACTCGAGCTGGTGGTTCGGAACAGGATGGATGGAGGGCAGGGAGGGTGGGTGTAGGTGTGTGACCGAAGTGGAGGGTCTTGAAGGAGACATGGGAGGGAGCAAGGTGAAGGGACTGGGGGATGGAGTTACAAAGAGTGAGGAGTTGGGGACGCAGAAAGGATGAAGGCCAGACTGCAAAAAAACCTCTAATAATGCTTCCGAGGACTGACAGCAGATATATCTCTCCGTCTCTCTTGATCTCTTAGTTGCCATGGTTGCTCAATGCATCAGATGCCCACCTACCCCTTCACTTCTATCAGCATGAGCTCTTCCCCCTCCCCAGTCAGTGACGATAACTGCAGTGCTTTCCAGCAATCAGAGAAGGTTGAGCGAGTACCAAGCACCAGGCCTGCATCCAAATCTGGCAGTGCATAAGGGAATCCCCTTCCACTCCCCCCTGAAAGGAAGTGAAAAATTGGGATGTTTCTTCACAGATTTCATGTGTTGCAAATCGCAATTAATTTACTGACAATAACCAAAGAGTGATTTGGGGTCTGAAAATTTTAGCCCTTTATCACTATTGTATTTCAAGTCTCCTCCGCAGGATACTGCATTAACTTAGATTGCTGTAGCCATGAAGTTATTGGCAGACCTGTACCTATGACAAGATAGCTCGCTCCCCCGCCCCCCAGTACAAACAAGGAAGGGTTTGCAAGAAAGATGTTTTTTATTCAGACAGTGCCCCTCTTTCAACAGTGTTTAATAGCTACTCTACACTTGCCTGTCCTGTGGTTCTGACAGTGATTCCCCCAGACCTTAACCACAGCATGCAAGGTGTCACAGCTGTAAATTATCGTTTTTGAATGGATACTTCATGTAACTCAGTGCAACACTCTCTTGCCTTAAAGCTGCATTGCTCAAAATGTTTTATTCCCACTGTAACCTCACAGGGCCTCATGGTTTTAATCTGCTTTTTAACACCATCTACCAACATCAGCCTAAGGCAGCATTTTAGAAATATTGAGACTAATTGTTATTTGGAATGTGAATGATTTTATGTGTGTTCTTTCTGTTCTTTCAGTATCTTTATCTTTTTTTCTCTCTCTCTGGTCTTCTCAATTGTTTTATTCTTCTCTTCCCACCCTCCCTATCCACCCTTTCTCCTCAGGCAAAAGTGGATAATGAAATACTGGACTATAGGGACCTGGCTGCTCTTCCCAAAGTTAAAACGATCTATGACGTCCAACGTCCCGATCTGATTTCTTATGAATCCTATCTCAAATCTACATCAGAAGACAGACTTGAAAGACATAGTATTGGGGAGGTACTGTGTAACTAGGCACAATTCATTCTTGCATGGAGTGTCGTCCCTCCCAACCATTTGAACATATGCTTAGTTGAAACAGCGCGGCAGTGAATCATTATGATTTTGTTTCTGCTGAGATAGCATGTGTGCAAGGCAGCAAAAGTAGAACCTATCTTTTTTGCCTGCGCCTCAAAATGCTTCTGGCTCTGAAACGTACATTGAAATCCTCCAATATAATATAACAAAAAAATGGATTTGTTTAAGTCTGAATATAAGTAGCTATTTATAAAGCTCATTCAGAAGCAAAAATGCGGACATTAAGGACAATTTTCAGTCGATTTGAATTGGATTGTTGTGGATTTGTCTGTTTTTAACATTTATAGTCTACAACATGGAGTCAAAAGAGGGTAGGCATATGTTCATGGTTGGCTGACTGGTCAATACACCCTAAGACCCAAAGTATGTATAGTTCACCCATGGTGCTGAGGACTCAGTGCAAAGTTTTCTCCACTTAAATAAATGCACTTGAGTGAATATTTCTATTAAGCAACTGAAAATCAAAATCCCTGAACAGCTCAGCTTTTCACCTACATACTTTGCATTCACTCCTGTTATCTTAATCATTTTAGCTGGTGACTCACGTTTATTAAATTTGCTTTTCCCTGGATTAAAGATTTTATGATTTAGACGTTTCCAGCACAGATATGAAACCATTCTCTCTGTGCTATTTTACCTCTATTTTTTATAAGTCACCCATTTTAAGCAAGAGACCTGGGTTCAATTCCTGGCAGGGTGAAACCGTGGGCAAGTTTCCTTACTCCACACACCTGATAATAATCCTTCAAAAAAAGTAATAAATTGGTCATTTCAATCCACAACTGTTTGTGGGACACTGCTGTGTACAATTGGTTGCTGCTTTTCACCCACAAATAAACAGTCAATTCATTTTACAGTCTACTCTGTGAAGCACTTTGAGACGTCTGGAAGACGTGAAAAGTGCTATATCAAATACAAGGATTATTATTATTATTTATCAATTCAATTTCAAGCTATTTCCTCACATAGAAGAAAGAGAGCATTTTGCTCATTGAGCCTGTTCTGCTGGTTTATTAGATCACAGCAGATTTTTTAATCCATTTCCCATAACAAAATCTCAAGATTAGTTTGGATGAAAATGTTTCTTCAGCCCATCTGATCTCATACCCACCCTCCCATCACAGCAACAAGCTGCTTTTAAATGATTTCAGTGTCCTGGCCTCAACCTCCTTCCTGGTAACCTCTTTGAGTTGTTAATTATCTTCTGAATCAAGAAAGACTCCCTGGTGTTTGTCTTGAAATTGCCCTTTGCAACTGTTCTCGTGTTCTACTGTTTTGGTGCATCCTAATGTATTGTTCCTCGTTTGCTTTTTCAATCCCATTTAAAATACTATACATCTCTATGAGGTCCTCTCTGAGATCCATCTCTTTAATCCCAATCGCCGCCTTATCCCTATATTTAATACTGTTCTTTTAAGACCAATTGTTTCTGCCTCTAAGGGCAGTGAATTCCACATTTTCACAATGCTCTGTCTTCACAAGTTATTTCTCATCTTCTAACAATGCTTTCTTGAATCATATAGTTAATGATTTTATTTAGTAACCTGCTGCACACATCTTTTATTTGACTTGATGCAAGTTAATATCTAATATATCAGCAAACTGGAAATTAAGGCTCCTCTAGGGCAAAGTGATCATAATATGATGGAATTTAGTATTAAGTTAGAGAGAGAAGTAGTTAAGTCCAAAGCAAAGGTTTTAAATTTAAGTAGAGACAATTTTGCTGGTATGAGAGAGGATTTAGCCAAAATAAACTGGAAATTAGATTTAAGGATTTGACAGTAGACCAGCAATGGCAGACTTTTAAGGAGATGCAAAATTCCCAGCGAGCACGTATTCCTTAAGAATACCATGGGAAAGGTGGCCCAACCGTGGCTAACAAGAGCAGTTAGGGAAAGTATAAAGTTAAAGGAAGAAGCCTATAAAACATCTAAGATTAGTAGTAAACCCGAGGATTGGGAGAAATTTAGGAATCAACAAAGGAGAACCAAAAAAGTGATTAAGAGAGAGAAAATGGAATATGAGGACAAACTAGTGAAGACATAAAGACAGACTGCAAGAGTTTTTATAAATATATAAAGAGGAAGAGGCTGTCAAAGGTAAATGTGGGTCCACTACAGGCAAAGACGGGGGGAATTATAGTAGGGAACAAAGACATGGCAGAGTCATTAAACAAGTACTTTGCTACTGTCTTCACCTTAGAAGACACTGAAAACCTACCAAGAATAGAGGGGAACCACAAAGAAAATGTTAGCGAGCAACTTGGGGAAATTAATATTAGTAAAGAAATGGTTTTAGGTAAATTGTCAGGACTTAAAACTGATAAATTCCCTGGACCTGATGGCCTACATCCTAGGGTTTTAAAAGAGATGGCTCGTGTTTGATCTTCCAAAATTCTCCGGATTCTGGAACAGTTCCCATTGATTGGAAGATTGCAAACGTAACACCACTATTTAAGAAGGGTGGGAGAGAAAAGATGGGGAACTATAGACCAGTTAGTCTGACATCAGTGGTAGGGAAAATTCTTGAGTCCTTAATTAAGATGTCGTTATGGGATTCCTGGAAGACCATAACAAGATTAGGCAGAGTCAACATGGCTTTACAAAAGGGAAGTCATGCTTAATTAATCTTTTAGAGNTTTTTTGAAGATATATCTAGCAGGTTAGAAAGGGGGAACCAGTAGATATAGTATATTTAGATTTTAAAAAGGCATTTGGCAAAGTGCCACACAAAAGGCTATTGCACAAGGTTAAGGCCCACGGGATTAATGGGAACATATTAGCATGGATTGAAGAGTGGCTAACGGGTAGAAAACAGAGAGTAGGGATAAACGGGTCATTCTCGAATTGGTAGGATGTGACTAGTGGAGTGCCACAAGGATCAGTGCTTGGGCCTCAGCTATTTACAATTTACATCAATGATCCAGACGAGGACATTGAATGTCACGTATCTAAATTTGCGGATGACACTAAACTATGTGGGAGAGTAAGCTTTGAGGATGATGCAAAAAGATTGCAACAGGATATAGATAGGCTAGGGGAGTGGGTGAGTAGGTGGCAGATGGAATTTAATGTGGGGAAGTGTGAAGTTATTCACCTAGGTAGGTAGAAAAAATAGAAAAACAGATTATTTTCTAGAGGGGGAGAGATTAGATAGTGTTAGTGTTCAGAGGGATTTGGGTGTCCTTGTACACCAGTCTCAAAAAGTTAGTTTGCAGGTGCAGCAGCAACTAAGAAGGCGAACGGCATATTAACGTTCATTGCAAAAGGTTTAGAGTACAAGAGTAGGGAAGTCTTGCTGCAACTGTATAGGGCCTTGGTGAGACCGCACCAAGAGTATTGTGTGCAGTTTTGGTTTCCTTATTTAAAAAAGGACATACCTGCCTAAGAGGGGTTGCAGCGTAGATTCACTCGGTTAGTTCCTGGGATGAGGGGACTGACCTATGAGGATAGGCTGAATAAACTAGGGCTGTATTCTCTAGAGTACAGAAGAATTAGGGGAGATCCTATTGAAACATACAAGATTCTTAAAGGGCTGATAAAGCAGACACTGAGAGTCTGTTTCCCCTGGTAGGAGAATCATAACCAGGAGTCACAGTCTTAAAATTAAGGGTCAGCGTTTTAGAACAGAGTTGAGGAAACATTTCTTCACTCAGAGGACGGTGAATTTATGGAATTCACTACCCCAGAAGGCTGTAGATGCTCAGTCCTTGATTATCTTCAAGGCTGAGACTGATAGATTTTTTAAAAATAGAGGGATTAGGGGGATATGGGGATAGGGCAGGTAATTAAAGTTCGGTCTGAAGATCAGCCATGGTCTTATCGAATGGCGGGGCAGGCTCGAGGGGCCGAATGGCCTACTCCTGCTCCTAATTCTTATGTTCTTATGTTCTTATATCTACTGAATATCAAACACATTTTTCATTAATTGCAAATTCATTCTAAAAACAAGCAAAAGTATGGGAAAAATGTGGATTATGGGAAATGGCTGAAGTGATAGTGTGATTAACCCTCTGCCTTCACTTTATAGAGTTTAGAGTTTAGAAGATGTTGGAGCTACTGATTAACGTAGATGGGGCACTTTTTCATAATTCCCTATTGCACACCCACAGTGCAATGTGTGTGGATGACACATGATGAGGGTCAATGAAATTGGCTATGTGAGATTATACCTCATGCTATTCTGTCATTTCTCTTTGGTCTTGTAGATGTGTTTGTTGTACTTCTCATGTGTTCTGTATTTAACGCTCTCCTGTTTTTCTCCTGCATGCAGTCACATGGGATGCTGTCACCTTATTCACAGGTAAATCCAATCCGTGAATCCTTGTTGAATCAGGAAATAAGCAATATTTACTATCCGTTTAGAATGTAGCGACTTGACGTAACACCCTTCACGTAGGATAATATCTCAAAGTTGTATTTACTTTAATTCATTCTGAAAGTAGAATTACTTCCAAATTCAGATCAGCAGGAGGAAAATGCTTTGGTGTTTATTTACACTTAGAAATTCAGGGCAGACGTCAGTTGTGCTGATTCTAGAGGTTTTTTTAAACAAAAATATTTATTGATATGTAAAAAATATATTTCTGCTTTCAACAAGAATAACTACACACGTGACTCACTTTCTACCCCACCAGCCTCAATATTCAAAAAATATTCTCCGCCATTTCCAGCACCTCCAGCGTGATCCAACCACTAAACATATCTTTCCCTCCCCTCCTCTCAGCATTCCCGAAGGGATCATTCATGACTCCCTGGATCATTCCTCCATCACCACCAACAGTTCTTCTCCTCCCCAGACACCTTCCCATGCCAGTGCAGGATATGCAATACCTGCCCTTTCACTCCCCCCATACCACTGCCCAGGGCCCCAAACACAGATTTACATGTACCACCAATGTAGTTTACTGCATTCGCTGCTCACAATGCAGTCTCCTCTACATTGGGGAAATGAAACGCAGATTGGGCGACCGATTTGCCCAACACCTCTATTCAGTCCACAAGCACAACCCTGAGCTTCCAGTTTCTTGCCATTTCAACTCTTCCTCCCACTCGCACTCTGACCTCTCCATCCACAGTCTCCTACGTTGTTCCAATGAGCCACAGCACAAGCTTGAGGAACAGCACCTCATTTATCTGCTAAGGACCTTACAGCCCTCTGCCTTCAATATTGATTTCAACAATTTCAGACCATAACAGCTCACCTTCCCCCTCCCCCTCTTCTATGACCATTACCCCCTCAGCTTGGTCCCAGATACACCTTTTCTCTCTCTGGTCTGCCTATTTGTTGCAATCTCCCTCCCCCCCCCCCCCCCCCCCCACTTTTTGTTCTGCAGAATTAACACCTCTATTCCCCTGCTTTGTTGCAATCCCCCCCCACTTTGCTTTGCATCATTAACAACAACTTGGATTTATATAGCGCCCTCCACGCCAGACGGCGTCTCAGAGCGCTTCACAGTAACGGATCTCGGGGACGAGCCAGGGGGAGGGGGAGGAAGGAGGAAGGTGACCAAAGGAGTGGTCGAAAAGAAAGGTCTTCAGCCAAGACCTGAAAATAGGAAGAGAAGGAACGAGATGAAGGGAGTGAAGAAGGAAGTTCCAGAGCCTCGGGGCACATAGTGGCTGAAACCACGGCCGCCGAGGGTGGAGCGGAGGACTCGGGGGACAAGGAAGAGGCCAGACCCGGAGGAAAGAAGGCAATGGGCACTGTTTTGAGGAGAGAGGAGATCAGAGAGGTAGGGGGTTGCAGAGGAGTGGAGGGATTTGAATACAAAGGATGTTGCAAAAGGGATTAAGGGATATGGGCATAAGGCAGGGTTAGGTTATTAGCTGGAGTTAGATTAGAAGATCAGCCATGATTGAATGGCAGGGCAGGCTCGAAGGGCTGAATGGCCTACTCCTGCTCCTGCATGTTATGTTACAAGGGTGAGGACCTTGAAGTCGATCCTCTCTGGGACAGGCAGCCAGTGCAGTCTGGCAAGGACTGGGGTAATCGGGGAGCGGAGTTTGGTGCAGGTGAGAATGCGGGCAGCAGAGTTTTGAATAATTTGGATTTTGTGGATGGTAGTGGAGGGGAGGCCGGTGAGGAGGGTGTTAGAATAGTCCAGCCGAGAGGTGACAAAGGCATGGACCAGGGTTTCAGCGGCTTTCGGAGAGAGGTATTGGCGGAGACGGGCAATGCGTCGGAGGTGGAAGAAGGCAGTGCTGGTGAGGGACCAGATGCGGGGGAGGAAGGATAATTGGGGTTCGAACCTGATCCATAGGTTGCATACGGGTTCGGAGAGTTTTAAGGGGAGGTCGGGTAGGTGGAGGAGGTGAGAGCCGTGAGATTTTAGACATTGACGAGAACCAAGGAGTATGGCTTCAGTCTTGTCAACGTTCAGCTGAAGGAAGTTTGCGCTCATCCAGGCCCTGAGGTTTGAAAGGCAGCTGACTGAACATCAGGGGACTGGGGGGTTGCAAAGAGAGGTGGAAAAGTAGAGCTGGGTGTCGTCCGCATACATGTGGAAATGTACCCCATGTCTGTGGATGACATCCCCAAGAGGGAGCATGTAGATCAGACACGTCTTTAACCCATCATCCTGCCCTCTACCCCATTTTCTCATTTGTCTTCCTTGCCCTGCCTCCCCCCTCTTAGCCTTTAAAAGCCTCTCCCTCTCAACATGCCCCCCCCCAACCCCCGAAACGTTGACTCACTTTCCTTTCTCCATAAATGCTGCCTGACTTGCTGATTGTTCCCAGCGATGTCTGTTTTTGTTTTCAGATTTCCAGCATCTGCAATATTTTGCATTTTGTTAATTTGTTAGCAATCAGTTTCATTTAACTCCTCAATCCTCATGCCCATTCCCATGCATCATGAGACACGCTTTTGACTGCATTACTGCCAATGAAACCAAAAAAAGGAGCTAAACATTTTATTTGCATATTTTGAGCTGAGCCCGGTGGCAACAACATTTACATTCCCACTTTGAAGTGTCAATACTGAATGGAACATTTTGGTTAGAAATGCAATTGTTTTGTTCACCATCAAAATACACAGTCAATCCACTTTACAGTATATCTTGTGAGCTTTGAGACATCTTGACTACGTGATGAGGCGCTATTATCAATACAAGAATTGTTATTAATGTAATTAAGATCTCCATTTGCCATCAACAGATCTCAGGGGTTGCCTTTCCCTCGATGTGGTGTGTAGACGGGTGTTTAACTGTGTTGGAATACTATAGTTAGTGTTGGAACATGACTTGTGTGAAAGTTGCCTGACAATAAGGTGGTGCTTTGGGTCTCTGCTATCCTGACTTTGCTTCAGTTCCACTCACAATCAGTGGCAATGGTGACCTCTACAGCATGATGAGGCTGCACTGATTGCAAGAAGACAATATAACAATGTTAACAGGTGTGGCAGTGTAAGAAGAGGGCAAGCTCTTCTTGTATGTACCAATTGCTAAACATTGTGATCTTTCCAAATAGGGATCACACATGGAAATCCCTTTCTAAACACAGAACGTAACAGCTTGCTACTTATAGCAATTGACTTTCAATGGGCTGCATTATATACCCCTCCCCAGCCCCCACCCCCACTAGGATCCTTTTCTTTAATTCACAAATTAAACAATTCATAAAAGCAATATTGAGGTTAAAATTTGTTCTCCATGCTGCATTTTAGATGGAAAATCAGTTTAGACATGTTTGGACTTTGGGAAGCATTCCCAGTACTTGGCAGATTTTCAGGAGTCGTGTATTCCAAAGTCGCTACCCGGAATCCTGCAAACGTAAACCAGCAAAACAGCAGCAGCAGATTTCCTACTGAGGCTCAGTGTCCAGGGAATTCTCATTGTCACTATGAAATATTAGTTTGTTAATATTCACTATGAAGCAGATTGAAGCAGTGACTTTGCATTGGTTCCATTCTGTTTGGACTCATTTGTCAGTTAGTTAATTTCTTATTGGCAAAATAAAGCTCGGAACTTTTGTATGATAATAATAATAATAAAAATTCTTGCATTTGATATAGCGCCTTATTATGTCATTGAGACATCTTAAAGCACTTCACATAATATATTATAAGTGGATTGACTGTGTTTTGTGGGCAAAACACGGCAGCCAATGGCACACATCAGTGTCCCACAAACAGTCGTAGATTGAGTGACCAATTTAATTTTGTGTGGAGGGATTATTACCCTTGGAAAGCGATCCGCCAGTCGACTAACAACCGGTTCCTGCTTGTAGGGTCCACCACTACACTCTACAGTATATCCTATGAAGTGCTTTGAAACATGCTCCTGCTGTAATAAGTATTATTATTGTGCTGGTACATTATCCTGCAGATGATACGCAGCTTAATGAATATTTATGATTACAAATAATGTTAAAAATAATAAGAGGTTTTACTCTAACCAATGTTACTAGAAAACTAGATTTAACTATGAATTCTAGTGTTGTGTATTTAGTTGGGGAACATTAGATTTATAGGGCAATTTATATACTTAGTATAAGCATATAAAAGAGCAAACAGGATGCCTGAAAGCGTGTATTTTCAGTTATTAGACTGGAGTTTCGGCAATATTTGAGTTCTGTGACTAACTAGGAATGCATAACAAACAGATATTGTGCTTCTCCCAAATGCTGTGTGACTGGGTTCAATTGCAAGGCACAAACATAGGTGCTTACTTAGAGCAGTTATCAGGCTTCATTTACTGCCATTCACTGATTATTATTCAGCATTTAACAAAATACACAGTTATTACGCTTTGAAGTAAAATCCTGTGAAGTGGTTTAAGATATCTCAATGACGTGCTAATGCATGATATCAAATGCAAGTTTTTTTTATTCCACCTGCTATTATAACACATCTTTCCAAAATATCTGAAATAAATGTAAATGTGTTACAGCTATCAACAGAATACAAATTACTGGGGGAGGGGGGCTAAGTGCAATACAATAGAGAAAGCTCAGCTCTGTGCAATGCATGAAGCAGAATGCTGTCCTCTAATAGGAAGCAGTAAAGACTTGCAGAAGGGAATATGGATGCTCTCATTAGATGCCTGACTGGGAACTGTGGAAGTCAATTCACAGGAATGGATTTGTGAACTGGAGTATGATGCAGTGCACCAATAACAAATGTACATTTTACTTTATTTATTTCTCTCCATGTCTACGACTCTCAATCTCCTCTCTCCCCTCACTTCACAGCTGAGAGGAATAATGCCAATATTGTTGCTCTAGAACAAGCTGGTTAGAAATGCACCAAAGTGTTCCATGACTGACCAGGCCTCTTGCATTCTCTCTTTACAAGGCAGTGTTTCAACTCTGCTTGGTGACACCTAGCTGTTCAGCTGAGACATTGAACACATGAACGTGCATGCAAACTCAACATCTGCCACTATGTTCCATGTGGTATCATTCCAGGGTTCATTTGCATTTGTGTGATATAAACGCTCAAATCAAGCCTCATTATTACAAATTTGTAATTAAAAAAATCTAAAAAAAAATTGATCACTCAATCCACGACTGTTTGTGGGACACTGCTGTGTGCAAACAGCTGCCACGTTTCTCCCACGAAATTTACAGACTATTCACTTTACAGTATATTCTGTGAAGCGCTTTGAGACGTCTCAAAGACATGATAAGGTGCGTTATCAAATACAAGGATTATTATTTTAGAAGGAGAATGCAGCAACCAATTTGCACACAGCATTGACTTAAAAATAGCCCTGAAGTGAATGCTAAATCTTAATTGGCTAAGATCTTACTGCTGTTTTGTGGTAGGACATATATGATGGCGTTGATTTCAGACAGAGGAGATCTTCCAGTCCCGGATACATAGACTCACCCATCTACAGTCGGCAGGGAATGTCTCCTACAATGCCTCGATCGCCTCAGCACTATCACAGACCAGGTAATAAATGTTGAATTAATCTTTCGACCATAACAATGCAAAGGAACTTTCCATCATCTAAGCTCAACAAACTGTTTTCCACATGTTGTCATTAACTGCTGTGTGATATACTGCGCAAAGTGGTGCCATTTGTTTAAATGATGAGCGACAGATTTATATTCAGATGTGTAAACTCTAGTAGAGGCATGACATGGAACATTTAACCCAAGCCCTTTGGAGCACTGTAGAACAGAAAGAATTAACACAAGGTTATTTTGATGACCAGTTGCCAGGTGCCTCTATGTAGCCAGACAAATGATATGCAAACTCTTGAATCTGTGCTGTCAGAAAGGGCATTCAGAGAAGTGAGCAACAATGCCATGTATCACATCCAGTGCTGTCTAACATTGCATGGCAAAGAGGAGATCTTATTATAAACAGGCCCAAAAATCCTAGTGACACTCAGATTGCAAGGAGGCAGAATGGCTGAGGAACAACGAGGAGCATCCCTTAGAAAGATATTCCATTTAATGTCTTTTGCATCTCTTAACCTGTGTTTTTGGTCATCTTTCTCCTCTCTGTCCCGTGTGCTCTCACCTCCAGCTCGGGTGCTCAACCAGCAATGCTAAGTTCTTTGAGACATCTTCCCGAGATGAAAGGCAATATATAAATCGTACTATATTGTCTTCTTCTATAATAATATAATAATCCGTGCATTTGATGTAGCGCCTTATCACGTCTTCGAGATGTCTCAAAGTGCTTCACAGAATAGACTGTAAAGTGAATTGACTGTTTATTTTGTGGGCGAAACTCACAAAATATTCTAATGTCTCAGTGCATCCTAAAATATATATATATATATCTGGCTTCTCTCAAAACTGACAATGATTATTAATATTACTTTATCTGACTCACAGCAGTTACTAAAATAATGTACATACAAATGTCTTTGCCTTGACCACGGTTGATCCATTTTTAAAATAAAAGAGCAAAGAAATACATATCATCTCTGCTATGGTGTTCTAACATCATTAAAGTATATGTAATCAGCGTTCACACTGTTTCAAACTTTGCAATCCCGTTGAGATATCTGAATGTGAGATTCCACTCTAATTTTATAAGTATAATTTACAATTGGTCCACAGATAGCCAGCTATTACATCATTCCAGTAAAACAGGGCCACTAATATCATGTGCATTGCTGAATAAGCTCAACATCTTTTCACTATAACCTGCCGACTTGTTCAGTGATTTCCCATCCAATACAGATAAAAAGAATCTTTGGTATTATAGCGCATGCATCAGGAAGCTGTTACACCTTCTACTTCTTCTGCTAAATTTGTTTCAGAAAATTCAAATGCTTTTGATTTTAAAACTTTAATTCCAAAGAATAAGGAAAAACAACTTGGTCACTCAATCCAGAACTGTTTGTGGGACACTGCAGTGAACAATTGGCTGCCACAATTCGCCCACAAAATACACAGTCAACCCACTTTACAATATATTCTGTGAAGCCGTTTGAGACATCTCAATGAAATGATAAACGCTATATTAAATGCAACGATTATTATTATTACAGTTTAAATCTTTACTGAACTTGAACTTCAAGCTACCACTTTTTTGTGGTGCGCTTGGCTCAATCTCTGTTTGGCAATCGAGATGCGTTTACGCTGGCATGAGAACCAAGATTCATTCTATAACTCATTTTACTCAGCCTGATAAAATGAATTACTGTGTCAGCAGCGAGTGTATCTGTGCAAAGCTCCTGTGTGCATGAAGATAATCGTTTTTACCCCCCAAAAATGTTCTTTGGCTATTTTAGTGGCAATTTTGGTTACACACTTTAGTTTAATAGAAATGAATGCATAGCGCATGAATGGCAAAATACAACAAAATAGCACGGAGATCACATGACATTATCAGGTCATTGATTCAGAATAAAATGAAAATCAGAAGAGATTTTATCTATACATTGCAGCACTTTATTAAAAATAATCCACAGAGACTCCGTTTTTTTTAAGCTCTAATGTACAGTATTTATTTGTATTGAGTTATTTTAAACCATTTTATGTTTTAGCAAAATATTAATTGCTGAAGTTAAAAATGTCTTATTCACACGTGTTTTTTTAAATTAATTTTCATATTTTTTTTAACCAATAATCAGAAAATGTATTAAAAACTAGAAGATTTCTTGATTCTGAAAAGTTATCTCTATAACTTGCCCCTTATTCAAGGGAAATTTCAGACCAGCAATAAGCTAGGCAGCCAGACGCAGAGAAGAAGGAAGATTACATCAACTACAGCTTCTAGTGGGAAAATTGAACCTGCTATTCCTGAGGTGGGGAAGGCAATTGGAAAATGTATATGGTACTTTGGGAAGGCTGTTAGAGGTGATGGAAGATCACTCGGCCGCAGCTTTAAGCTGCAGCTTCAGTGCCTCAAATTATACTTTGTTAGGAAATAATATCTTGGATTACAGGATAAAGTTTGGGACGTAACTTGTGCATGAGACTGCTAGGATGGTGGAAGACGAACTGGATGAATCTTGGTCTTCTTTCATCCAGCAATTCTTATCTTCTCATGGCAAAGCACAAATAGAGTGGCCGAGAGGTTCATTACCATATTTTCAGATCCGGGGGGGGGCTACATCAATTTGCACAATAGTGTTGCGGCTTTGGTGCTAATGTGGACTTCCAACACATGGGTGGGGGGGCGGTGAGTGGGGGGAGGAGGTCGGAGGCTGGATGGGGCAGGGAAGTAAGGGGAATGAATGAAAGAAGGAGACCCAACCATTGATTTTATGTCAATGGGTTTTTAGCATTGGTTGACAAGATTGCGAAACTCACATCAATTTCTTTGATCCTGTTTGCGGCAAATCAATGGCTGGGATCACAGGACCGGAGGCTGTCCTGAAAGTCAATGGACAGGTTAGAACTGGCAGCAGTGCCAGAGTCACCACACAGCAATTTGCAATCTGTAACTTGCAAACAGAGGACAGCCTCAGCTAACTCAGTAATGTAAGCTTTACGCAGCAAAATATGGCACACTGAACAGTTGCTCATTCATATTTGCTTCAGAAACATTATTCTTTCATTTATATTGTTTTTGCTGCTTTCTCTGCTGTTCTTTGGAGGCACTGAAAGCGGCTGGAGTTCTTATTATAGCCAGCTAGACTTCAAGGCAAGCCCTGCCCAGACACCCAAGCATTTCCATGTGCCAGGTAGGAGCTTACAAACTTACCAGCATGGTTTGAATGCATTAGTGTAAACATTAATGGCATTTCTATTTTACATTAAACTAATATGTTTAATTGTAAAACTGCACATAGCTTAACAAAATATAGGTCAAACAGAGGAATATGCTGTTGGTTGCAGACACCAATTTGAATATCGTGTTAAATGTGCTGAAACGTGGCTCAGGGAAATGAGCAGCTAAGCCCAGATGAGGCCAGGTTTTGAGGCACAGTATTTGCTGAGTTAGCTGATCTGTGTTGTGGGGTGGGGGGGGTTGCAATTGGCTTCAGCACCCCTGGTTACGGAGGGTAACATCAGTCGTACTTCCTGCTCCTGTTCGCTGGCCAGTGATAACCCTTCCCACCATGTTGAATATGTTGAGTAACAGGCTCAACTGCGATATCACCATAAATAGAATTTGTAGCTTATGAGAGGAGATGTAGCTGTACAAGGACAAAAATTGCTAGCAAACTCATCGAAGTCGCACACAGATTAAAGAGGCTCCCAAATGAAGAATTGCAAATGACAGGAATGAGGTTGCTCCTCTGTGTCAGAAGGTGAACTGTTAAGAATAACTAGACAAGCTAGATCTCTCCAGGCTTTAAAAGCAACATCAGAGGATAGGTAACAGAGATCTATGATAGTTAATAATAACATATAGTCACCTGGAGACTGCTCTGTGCTGAGGTAGCTGATATTAGGGCAACGTTTACGAGTTGGTACAATAGATCTCAGTGCCCTTGGGGTAAGGTAAGAGGACATCACACAGAGTTTCTGCTTGCCAAGCAGAGCCCTTTGCTGGAATGTACACATTTGTGCTGTCTGGTGTAAACAGGAACAGGCTTGGCTTTCATCCCATCCGAGTTGAATAGCTTTGTTCCCAACAACCATGCCCTGAACTCACACATGAAGAATGGTGGTGGGCACAGAAGTGGGCAATGTCTGTGGAACTGTAGTTTGGCAGGAGTCAGCGCTTTGAGGAGACAAGGGGAGTGAATTTGGCGAAGCAAAAAGCTTTCAAAGAGTTAACAACGAGAACCAAATGACATCACAATATTGAAGGAATGGGTTTTATATGTATGTGACTTCCTGTGGGACAGATGGTTTCTGTCTGCCCATGGATATAGGATATAGGACCCATTTCCAATCCCAAATGCCTGAGTAGGGATGTATCTATGATTCGTTTGGGCAACAAGTGCCAGCAGTCAAGATTCAGTTTTCTGCTTTGCACAATCACGGATGTTGTTACAGTAATTTCAAAGCAAAACAGTTATACAAGGCTCATTAGTTTGTGATTCAGAGAACAATTTGAAATGAGCTCCATGGCTTTTCCAGATATTTCAGTCATTGCATCAGTTGTAGGGAAATCCATTTAAAAGCAATCAAGAGGCAGATACACACATACGCTTTTGCTGGGTGTAATCACTACATAGTGACCAGCAGTATGATTACTGGATAAGGCAAACTGTAGCACACTGGACTATGACACTCACTCAAGACAGACTGGAGATCAAACCTGAGAGCTTCTGGGTTTCCATGGATGATGGCCAGTGGCTTTACCGAGCAAGCAGTTGGAGTCTCATTAAAGTGTTTGCGATTTAGTACATCATAGAATTATGCAGCACAGAAGGAGGCCATTCAGCCCATCGTGTCTGTGCCAGCTCTTCGAAAAGTACTATCCAATTCAACCCCACTCCCCCGCTCTCTCCGCACAGCCCTGCAAACTTGTCCTCCCCAAATAATTATTTACTTCTCCCTTAAAAGGTGTTATCGAATCGGCTTCTACCACTCTTTCAGACAATGCATTCCAGATCCAAACAATTCGTTGTGTAAAATATTTCTCTTCACCTCCCCTGTTTTAACAACTATTTTAAATCGGTGTCCTCGAGTTACCGACACACCCGCCAGTGGAAATAGTTTCTCCTTGTTCACCCTATTGATCCTCTCATAATTTTGAAAACTTCTATAAAGTCTCCTCCTAACCTTCTCTGCTCCAAGAAGAATAACCCGAGCTTCTCTCACCTCTCCTGATAACTGAAGTCCCTCAATCCTGGTACCCTCCTGGTAAATCTCCTTTGCACCCTCTCCAATGCCTTGACATCCTTCCTAAAGTGCGGTGCCCAGAACTGAACACAGTCTCTCGCTGAGGCCTAACCAGTGTTTTATAAAGGTTCATCATAACTTCCTGACTTTTGTATTCTATGCCCCTATTTATAAAGCCTCGTATCCCGTACGCTTTTTTAACAGCTTTATGTACCTTTCCTGCCACCTTCAAAGATTTACTTATATGAACCCCCAGGTCTCTCTGTTCCTTCACCCCTTTAAGATTGTACCATCGGCGTATATGGCCTCTCCTCATTCCTCCTCCCAAAATGCATCACTTCGTATTTCTCCACATTAAACTTTATCTGCCCCGTGTCTGCCCATGTTACCAGTCTGTCTATGTCCTCTTGCAGTCTGATTCTATCCTCCTCATTGTTTACTAATTTTCCTAGCTTAGTATCATCTGCAAACTTGGAAATTGTACTCCCTGTACCCAAGTCCAGGTCAGTTATATAGATTAAAAACAGCAGTGGTCTCAATACTGATCCCTGGGGGACACCACTGCTCACTGCCCTCCAGTCAGAAAAACAACCGTCCCAAAGTTGTCAACAGACAATTAAATTGCTGCATGTTTTCTGAACTCTTATCGAGTGGGAGTCTGATTCTAAGTAGTGAAGTTGAGTAGAAAAGGTTACAGTTGTCGAATGTATTGTATTGCGTGTGCACTGTCAATGCCCTTTCAATGTCATACACTTTCCCATGCAAACAAATCTGCATTAACAATTGCTTCCTTTCTTCTTTAGTGAGTGGAGAAACCTCCAATATCTACAGGAAGCCTCCTATCTATAAGCGACATGGTACTGCTTGCTTGCCTTTTATACTTAATGTTTGCATTTTGAACAGTAGAAAATAAATTTGCTTGACCTTGTTTAGTGGAGCAGAGTAAAATCAACATGAAGGAGCTGAATTTTCATCCAAAATCGTTTTAATTTTTCTCTGTAGAAATAAAATTGATCTTGAGCGCATTGTTAATTCTAGATGAATAACATAATTTAACAAGTCCACATTCCCTTTTGTTGTTTTTCGGGCAGCATTCTGAGCAATCGAGAACCAGGGTCTAGATTGACTTTGTTGATGTAGCATTTTAGAACATCTGGAATTTGGCAAATTGTTGAATTTAGTCTTTATTTTGCAGTCGGTCTTTTACAGTTCTTAAAAGAAATGAACAGAAAAGTCATATGCTTCCACATTTCACCTACAAAATGCACAGCCACTTTGCGATGTATTTTGCAAAGCGCTTTAGGACATCTCAATGACATGATAAGGTATTGTATCAAATGCAAGGATTATTATAAGTGTTATTATTAAACTCAAAATTATGCTTGCGGTTAAGAATTTGCCAGATTCCAAATGCTCTAAAATACTACACAAATAGTTAATCTAAACACGGGTGGAATTTCACCCCCGATTGTTCACAAAGCATTAATTATTTCAGCGATTTGGCCTTTTTACAAATGGTTCCATTCATTTCCTCTTGAAATCCAGCCAGTTTCAAGGTGTTGTAAATCAGATGATCAGTGTCATTATTGTGATGGATAATAACAACAGCCTTTGGTGCCGGCACCAACCCACACTTGTGCCAAAAAGTGTCCAAGTTCCAGGAATGTTGAACATTAGGCCGTTTAACTGTTTGGTGAATATACAAAAGACGGATAACAAAAGGCCCATTTTGTCCCTGTTCCTCAAAGTTTTTTTTTGTGCCGCTGCTGTTAATTACCTCGTCACTTTGGCCTGACGTAACCAAGTGTTTATTTGTGGTTTCCTGTACCATATTGAAGTCCCTGTTGCATGAGGGATGGTGTTGACAGTGCTCTCTGTCAGCAGCACAAAATAGACCTAAAGATAGGGGTTGTTTAAAATGCGCAGTGGCACAGAATTCCTGACCTCCACTCCCACCTGAGGTAGGTTAAACTTTGGTGTGAAAACTCAAACAGAGGTGAAACAATCTAACGTCATTCTGTTTAAATCTCTACGAAATATGTTCTTAAATTGATCACTATACAGTACAAATATTGTATTATTATTATTTTCTGGTGGTTTGGAAACTCAAGATTTGGTGGTTGAGTATTCAATCCAGGCTTCTCCCAAGATTGCTGATTACACCCTAATACCAGGTCCACGGTTGTGTTGACATGATCAAGTCAATGGAGTCTATCAGCTACTGATCACTAACCAGCGTCCCTTTAGTGACTTTAATTCTGTTACATTATAAAGTCATTACTTTTAGCACTGGGTGCATGATAGACCCAGATATGTCCAATTATTGTTTTGTAATAGTTAAAGATGTCATGAATTTACAGCGTTTTTCAGATTACTGTCAAGAAAGATTGCATTTATAATAATAACAATAATAATCCTTGCATTTGATATAGCGCCTTATCACATTTGAAATGAAATGCTTGTCTGTAAAGTTTCAAATCCAACAAAAGGGATGTTGTCTCATCAAAGATTGTCTTGTTCCTCACATATCCTTGTAACACTGCACCAAATTTTTCTAATCTCTGACTCTCTTCCTGTCCGCTAACTGCTTCTTGGTTCTACACTGTGCTGTAAGTACAAGAAAAATCTCTCCTGCACTGTTGATTTCACGTGTCTGTTTCACTGTCAGCTGACTCATCAGCAGGCTCTTTAAGGGGGTAGGGTGTCATCCCAATCAGCTCCTGGTAACTCTGCAAGCCAAAGCCCTAATGGGTAGGGTAGTCCTAGCTGGACAAGCAGCGAGAAAGCTTGTCTGACGGCAATATCAATGGCAAGCTATGTGGTTTTAGCTGGTTAAACTCCAACAGTACCCCAACGCACACTCTGGGGTCCCCAAGCCTTGGCTCTTGCCAACCCTCGCCTCATACGTTCCAGAATTAGATAAGCAGGATGTGTCCCTCCAGGACGGGAGTGTTCTTACCATTCCAACAATCTATCTCTGAGATTTCCATGTGTAGGTGGGATGCATGGAAATCTCAGCTTGGTTTGATATTCTTAAGCATGATGATGGGTTTCCGCATGTATCAGACTGATCAAAAAAAAGCTTTTGGAAAATAAAGTCTGAAATATAGTCTGAAAAATAAAATAGCAACAGTCTTTCAGCTTTCACCGTTATAAGAGGCACTTAACCTGATCCAGTGTCATAGAGTCCTTCTGCACTGGGGATAAATCTAGAAATAGATGTGAAGTAGATAGTAGGTCAAGTGAATTCAGTAGAATAACAGACACAATGGCTCAGTGTGTATTACAGATCATTGGCTCTGCATTGCAATGGACGATTGTAATATACTGGACAACTGAGTGTGGATTGCAGGTAGAATCACGGAAGATTAGATGTTTATTGCATTTATAATACTGTGGCATTTGGTTTGGTGTATAAAACAATGACTGGTTAGACCTTTACAAACGTATATAATGCCCTAGATTATGTGAGTCCATTATAGTTATCTGTAAGAGACAGAAAACATCCCTACAGGCTAGATTGTTGTTCAGGTCACAACAAAGGTACAGCTCCTCACAGGAACATTTCATTATCAGTGACTTCTGAAATCGCTCGTGCTGTGTTCTTTGAAAGCAAATTGAGAAACGCACATTTAATCCAGAAACATAAAAAATCAGAAGACCAGTCGGCCCATCACGCCTGTCCACTAGTCTTGGCAATCTTTTAGTCCCAATACTCCGCCCTTTCACCATGCCCCTCAATATCTCTGCCATCCAAGCCTCTGTTTATAAGTACACAGTCACTATACTTCACAGAAAATCCTGTTAGTGCTTTGAGATGTCCTGACGACGTGACAAGGCACTATATCAAATGCTAAGATTATAACGGATTCTGTCTTGAAAAAGAGACCAAAGATTTCTATTTTGGTGCAGTAAAAATAAGTCCAGAATCACGCAAGGCCACCTCGATGTGACACCCCTCACATATGTGAGCCTAAACAGAGGATATATAGAAATAGACAAAGACAATGCAATGAGAGATCATCTAAAGCAGATCTTCCCAGTTGCTAGAAGGAAAAATAAAGAGTGATTTCAGAGGGGAGCACAAAAAAATTACAGGGACAAATTTCACATTATTAATATTAATATTTACCATTGTTTTGACGCCTTTGCCCCGCCACATTTCCTGCCTCAAAAGAACCAGACATTTTTTTTAACGCAACAAGTTGTTATGATCTGGGTTGCATTGCCTGAAAGGATGGTGGAAGCAGATTCAATGATAACTTTCAAAATGGAATTGGATATTTATTTAAAAAGGAAAAAGTTGCAAGGCTATGGGGAGAGAGCGGGGGAGTGGGTTTAGTTGGGAGCTCCTTCAAAGAGCCGACACAGACTTGATGGGCTTAATAGTCTTTTTCTGTGCTGTAGGCTATGATTCTATGATGTTAAGGAATCAGAGATTACTGAAACAGACTGCAGTGTTATGCAATATGGTAATAACAGTCGTGTTGCATTAAACGATCTCCATTATATGGGGGAAAAGGATACACCATCGACTGAGGCTGTAGACACATTTCTTCCTTTCCTCAGACAATGGGCAGTAACTTCCTTTCCTCTCAAGTGTTTGTGCGCTTGCACAGGAAGACGTTTGCTTACATTGCAAACACATGTGCTACATGAACCAGGCTGGCGTGTAATAAAGCATTGGCTCCTACAGGGGAAACACATTAGCCGTTTCCACATTCGATTAAACAGTGTACTTCCCCTTCTTGGAACTTCCTGGATCAGACTTCTGTTTGTGTAATTTCCAATCCATTATTTGTTTCCTGCTGTTTAACGCACCTTCTATTTTCCTTGTGTGATTGTCCTAGCCGAAGACAAGAGCAAAACTCCCCCATGATATATGGAACTGTTTCCACTGTTTAAATCATGACAGTAAATAGCAGCAGAGGAGGTGTAGGAAGTATGATTTCGAAAAATCATGAGTCTGTTTCATGAGTTGGATGTACTCACCAGTGGTATAGTAATAATAAATCGTTGCATTTGATATAGCACCTTATCACATTGTCAAGATATCTCAAAGCTCTTCACAAGATATACTGTAAAGTGGCTGTGGTAAACCCAACAATTTAGCGAATGGCACAGACCAAACCAATCAATGAATTAAATCTAATCCATTTGGGTTAGTTGTACAGCATAGACTTGTGCCCATTAGGACCTGGTTAGAAATGCAATAAACATATTTTATAAATAATAAGAATAATCCTTGCATTCGATACAGCGCCTTATCATGTTGTCGAGACATCTCAAATTGTTTCACATGAGTTACTGTAAAGAATAGTGACAATAAATTTGTAGGCGAACAAGCAGTTTCTACACAGTAACATCCCACAAACAGCAAGGATCTTTTCAACTAATTGATTGAGAAAAAAGTCTTCCAGCCCATCTTGCATTAACAGATAGACCCCAGATGTCCCTTCATAAAATAAGTTTATGCGCTTCTAACCAAATCCTTGCAAGCACAAGTCTATGGTATAAAGCTCACTCAGAGCGCAAAAGGGTAGTCACTGTAAGAAGACAGTAACATCACTCTGTTGTTGGAGGGAAACTATTGGGATTTCAACACAAAGAAGTGAATATGTTTACTTTAGAACCAGGTAAAGTGGACCATTCACGTATGTTAATTACAGCATGCCCAAATGATATAAGCTATAACAAGATATACAGATATAATAAAAAGGGCATTGGAATTGAGTGGAGCTTTTATAACTTGCTTCAGAATGGTAGAGTATTCCACTGATGCCACTTACTCTCTATGGCACCAAGCTGAGTTCTTTAATATTTTATTGCAGGTTATTAACAGGACTTGACACTCTATGCATTGGTATAACACCTTTTGACTGACCAACATAGCTTTGTGAATATATATATACATATAATGAAATAGATTCTGGAATGAATGCTGCTCTATGAATATATCATGACCTAGATTATGAATCTGTGTTTGTTCTAAGTAACTTTGACTGAGATATTTGCAGGTACATTAAACCAAGCCGGATAATTTCTAATTTAAAAAATATTACACTTTGCCCCATTAGGGCAACCTAGATCCTGTTTCGTTTGTAAAATACAATGATTTATTGAAGTATTGATGTTTGTTTTTTCCTTGCTAAAGATACTTATAATGGAAACAGTACATGCTTGAATGTTGCATGCTGGAAAAATATTGTTATTTCCATAAATCGATTGCAGTGAATGCTGGTTAATGGGTACAGGGTAAGAGATTTCATTCTGGTCTGTTCACTTCTTAGAATATGTGTACTTAGCGACTAAGAGCAAAACAAGTGAGGACATTGTCCAGTCTTCCAGATATCCTTCAGCCCACTCTCCAGACATCTATCAGCATTCTGAGATGGAGTCCTGGAATTCCCCCTCTTCACCCAAAGGTAGACATCTTAAACTGGCAACTAACTTGTTTGTGCTACGCCCTGTAGAAGAGAGAGCTCTGGAACTCTTTCCCTAAATCCCTCCGCTTTGCCCCCTTCTTCCCCTCTTTTAGATCACGATTTTAGACTTTCCTCTTCAACTGTACTTATGATCATCTCTTCCCTAGCCCCGCGGCTCAGTGCCGGGCTCCACCACCGTTAAGCCCTCTGAGACGCTGCCCTACATGAAAGGCACTACATAAATGCAATTTGTGGTTGTGTGTATTGACCTGGCTGCATCCACTTGAAAATATTATTGTAGAAGGAAGGTGCTTAGGAATGTCATTTCGAAACAACAAGCTTTTCTTTAGAAGTTTTTGTGCTTTCTCACAAGCACACTTCCGCATCATTCAGCCAGTTTGTCGGAGAGTTGAAACTGAGGTCACATTAGCACAAGCGTAACCCTATCGCCCATAGCTCATTCTTATAGGTCATTGATATGCAGCACATAGACAGGAATATAGTAACTTTGAAGAAGGAGTTTAGCTGCTGGTCCTCGGAGTAGATCAGGTGGAGCAGAAATGCAATACAATTATTTGCGGTTGGGTAAAAGATTAGTGAAGCATTTAGATTAATAAACTCCTCAGGATAGATACCAGCAATAAATGTCAAGTACATTTGACTAATTTAGAGGAAAGATGTAATATGGAATTTATTTATCTGATGGAAGCTTCTAACAACAACAATAACAACTTCTGTTTACCGTATATAGTGCCTTTCATGTGGCGTAGTGTCTCGGAGCGTTTGATAGTGATGGAGTTTGACACCGAGCTGAGGAAAAAGGGGAGGTGATTGTAGACATGATCAAAGAGGAAAGTCTTCAGGTGCAATCTAAAAAAATGATGAAAAAGGGGCAAGGCAGAGGAATTGAAGCAAGGAATTCCAAGTGGTCGAGGCACAGTGGCTGAAAACAACAAGGATTTTATGGCAGTAACAACAATGTACCTCAATTTGTTGGTTTGCCTGCAGATGCAAAGTCGCTATGAGGATTAAACTGTTTCACAGCCAGAATTTGATGGGTTAAGCAAAATACAGGCTGGAGTACAGTATAAGAAAATGATCAGGGAATAGAGAACGGATGATCCCAGTGAGAACCAGCGATACATCCTGTCGTTGTTGAAAGCAAAGGGCTGGGTTAAGTGGACAAAGTGGGCTTTTCTTTATCTCATGTCTTGTCATAGTTTCTGTTCAGATCTCTTGACTGTTGGACTTTCTTTCTGATGTTAAGGAACGAGATGGAGTCGTAGATCATCCGGAGCAGAAGAAGATGGTCAAAATGTATGGGACCAGGGCATTCAAACGGTATGATATCTGAAATGTATAATCACTAATTGAAAGAAGTACCCAAGTGCAGAAAACTTGTGGGCGTCTTAACAACAAAAAGAACAACAGGAAGGATGAGGTTTTGGTTACCGATTTATCTCAATGGATAACAAGGATGTAACCATGTATATAACTCTGTAACTTGTCACAGTGTTGTGTATCTCCTAACAGGTTCCAGGTCATACACCAGACCCAGACAGACAGCATGTAGTCAGATATTTGAAGTCAATTCCACAGTGAAATGGTGGTGGGGGTCAAATTTACATTATTACGATTTCAAGAGAAGAAAGTACAGATCACTATGGCTGCCACAAAGAGTGCCCAGCTCTTTGTCAGTGCAGAGCAGCGCAGCTGAACCAAATGTGGCCGACACTCAGTCTGCCTATAGGTTGTGTAGTGTTATCGTTGCTGATAACAGCTCGGAGGAGTTTTAAGTGTTATCGCAATTACTCACTTCCTCACCTTCTGCAGAAATAAGTGAATATCTGCAGACAGTATCCACCAGCAGTGGACATCCGTGTTCACAAATGGAGCAGGAGGTTTTCTTATGGAAATGTATTAATTTCATGCCCTCCTACCCATTAGTCAGTCATTGATATAACCATCCTCCCAATCAAAGTGCGATAAATAATAGTAAGATTAATAATCCTTGCTTTGATATAACTCTTCATCATGTTGAGACAATTCTACACCCTTAATTTGTATCTCCATGATATGGCTCGCTCCAACCTTGAAGAGTGTACTGGGTGGTCTCTGTAATCAATACTCACTAATGTGTGAAAGAGTTTATCTCTAAGTGTTTCTTGCTAATTGAGATTGTTTCACAACAACAAGTACTACCAGATTGATCTTTAATCGATGCAAACAGAAGCTTCAGTCAATCAGAAGTTTATTTTTGAATACCTCTGTGACCCAGCAAAATACAGGCTGGAGTACAGTATAAGAAAATGTTTATGTTACTCCCTCTTATATTGAAAATTAACAGGGAACTTGAATGAGACAAAGTTAAGAAAACTTAACGGTATTTTTATTATGGTTTGTTCAGAATCCAAAACTCCTCGGGAATAGTTCTCAAGTGATTTTGACAAATAACAACAAATTGCACAACCATCAATAATACAGATAACTAATCAACTTTAACAATTACTAGATAGCAGCCTATTAAATCTGAGGTTAATATGTGCACTGAACCAACGTTTTAAGGGCATTGTGTCCCTCCCCATTTTAAAGCATCCAATCCAAATGTACCTGCAACAATTACTTAGTGTAATTGGTGCTCTTTTGTACAGTCAAATCAGAATCCTCCCCTAAAGGTGCCCAATAGGGATAAGTATGCTTTCCAATCCTTCATTTGCATAATTAGGATGGTAAGTTTCCCTGCCAAATTGTTCCGATGCCTTTGGAGACTTGATGGCACCATCTGGGTCACAATCTTATTTAAATACATTAAAAATGTATTTTAAATAATGCACTAAAAACGTATTTAAAGGAATATTACACTGAAAAACGATATGCGCATGCGCTAGTTCATTTCCAAACTTTCGGTGTTGATACGGGTTTACCCGAACACATTTAAGTCAGACAATAACCGCATTTAAGGAATCAATGCTTTAAACTACATAATAGAAATATTAAACTCTTTCAACAGGTTAATTTTTCCAACGCAAACATTAAACAACAGAAAATATAATTATTAAAGACAGGCAGGTTATGTAAAAAAGGGGTGTGACTGTGACATTGTCGTCAAGACGTCTCAAAGCGCTTCACAGGATATACTGTAAGGTGGATTGATTGTGTATTTTGTGGGCAGACGCAGCAGCCAATTTGCTCACAGCAACAGCGTGGATTTACCAATTTTATTTGGGGGATTGTTGGCCAGATACCCGGGAAAAACTCCCTTCTCTTTTCGAATCGTGATCTTTAACATCCACCTGAACAGGCAGACGGGACCTCGGTTTAACATCTCAACCGAAGGACGATGTTTCTGAATAGAAAGTGTGTATGCGGGTCACTACTCTTAGGTCTTGTAATGACTAGATCGATGCCAGCAGGGTTTTCGGGAAAGCTAAATTATTATATTTAATGTTTGTTGAGGAACGAATCTTCATCCTATCCTAAATGTCATGTCATTTAGGAATCCCTCAAACACTCCGTGCTCTCACATATCAACAACGTCTTCCATTAAAAAAAACGCAAAATACTGCAGATGCTGGAAATCTGAAAACGAAAACATTTATTTTTGACTGCCATCTCGGCTTCACAACGGTCATCACTGAGTTTATATGATGTAAAAATTTTGAGCTGATTTTACTTGTGTACATGTGGCAAACTCTAAGAAGCCCTTGGCACAAGTTGTGGTCAATGTGGAGCAGATATGCCTTCGATTCACTCCCCAGCCCTGACTTCAATGTTATTAATGAAGAACATTGCTAAACTAGCCCACCATGGCTTATTGAACACCACAGCTGATTGCTGCATTATATTGATTCAAACAATTACTTTGTCAGATAATTGGAAATACAAGTGTTAGGATTTCCAATAAAAATAATGGTGCTCTTATTCTATCTCGTTCTCCATTTCAGATACAGAGTGGCATTAACAGACTGATTCTGAAGGAAGAGATGAAAGCCAGAGTTGGAGCTTATGATCATGACCCTTGGGCTCTGCGTAACTCTAGAGAATATGCCCAGAGTGCAGGCTATGGTTCTCCAATCAACGGGTGTAAGTAATAATGAATTTGCCAATGTGCAACTTCCAACACAAGTGACAAAACCATCACTGCCTTAGCTATTGGCATGTGATAGCAATGGGCCCATAATTCCACCCAGTCTTAGCCTGGGAGACCATTCTGTATTAAAATGTTAAGATCACAGCAGAACTGTGGAAATTCTTCAATTCGGTCTCAAATTAGTTCCCAGTTATAATAATAATAATAATAATCCTTGCATTTGATATAGCGCTTTTCACGTCGGGAGGACGTCCCAAAGCGCTTCACAGAATATACTGTAAAGTGAATTGACTGTATATTTGAGGGCGAACGCGGCAGCCAATTGCGCACAGCAATGTCCCACAAACAGTCGTAGATTGAAAATGACCAATTTATTATTGTTTTTGATTTTGGAGGGATTATTATTTCTTTCCTGCACTTTGTAAGAAGAACCAGCTCTCAAATTAAGACTCAATTCAAGTTTATTTTCCCACAGTTCTGCTGTTATCTTAACCTTTTTAAGACAAAATGGGCTAGCAGGCTAAGACGAGGTGGAATTCAGCCCCTAATATTTGACCATTTGGAATCGCGAGTTATTGCTCGAGAGAATAACACTAATTATTATTTCAGCGCTGCTGAATTAAATGCTTCATTTTAATTTCAGTCTCAAATAAAGTTATAGAGATGGGTTCTCAAAGCACCTAACTGACCTCTTCCTCTCTCTTTGATGTGTTTGCATGGTTAATTTGTACCCCCATGTTTTAAGCACTGCCCCAGTAATTGATTCTGAAGCAACATAACTCCCCGAGTCATCAAATAACTGAAGACTGGCTACCCTGACTAATCCAGACTCCCCGGTGTCTTGTTCAGAGTATCGGAGAGTTGGCAGGATGCGAGTGGGGGGATCACACTGAAAAAAGCAACACCGGTGACCTTGATGTGTACAGAATGCAATGGAAGATTTGCTAAAATGTTTGAAAAGCAATTCAAAATAAATCAATACCATTTCCATATTATCAAAAGAAAAGTGTTGACTTCTAATTCTATTGCAATGTTTTTTATACATATGCATGTGTGTGTGCAGAGGAAATAGGGATCATAAACTGTGAAACACTGACCTGGCGAGATAGATCAGTTCAGGCGATCCATGTACAGTTACAAGGCTGGACTTCTTCCTTGTTCTGGTTATAGTAATAATAATCCTTGCATTTCATATAGCGCTTTTCACGTCTTCTAGACATCCCAAAGTGCTTCACAGAGTATACTGTAAAGTGAATTGATTGTATATTTGCGGGCGAACGCAGCAGCCAATTGTGCACAGCAGTGTCCCACAAACAATCCTAGATTGAAAATGATCAATTTATTATTGTTTTTGGTTTTGGAGGGATTATTATTAGGCTCTGTGTGGAGTAAGGAAACTTGCCCAAGGTTTCGCCCTCTGCCTGGAATTGAACCCAGATCTCTCACTTGCAAAGCGAGTGCTCTAACCACTGAGCTTCAGGAGTTATTTCCTCTAAAGCGAACTGGGTGCCTCTGGGCTTCCAACACTTTCACTAGGGAGGTCAGGTGCGTTTTTTGAGATGGGCAATTCTGCAGCCAACAATTGCCACTAAAATACTGCAGCTATATGACTGCAAGCGCTCTGCAGATACAATCATGTTCTATGTTGCAGTGTTACAAGACTTGAAGGCTTGTCACACGCTCCCACTCACTGGGTGATAATTTGCATATTGGGTCCCAATCCATGAGGAAGCCCACATCTTTGAGGTTGTACAATCATATTACAAACTATGTGTTTTCTTGCTGCTGTTTGTTACATATTTTCTCTACCGACTGCCTGCTCCATTCAATAATAATATTAATAATCTTTGCATTTGATACAGCACTTTATCATGTCTTTGAGACATTTCAAACCGCTTCACAGAATATACTGTAAAGTGAATTGACTGTATATTTTTGGGCGAAACGTGGCAGCCAATTGCGCACAACAGCATCCCACAAACAGTCACGGTTTAAATGACCAAATTATTATTATTATTTATTTGAAGGGATTATTAATATGATTTTTACCCTCAGAAAAGCAATCCACCAATCGACTTACTTACTGCTATCGTTTTGCTGCATCCAACCTTCAACACCCAAGCCTGTGGTGATGGCAGCAGAAAGTCTATAGTCTGTGGTTTGCATTCGTGCTTAGCAAAATAAAAAGCCCTGCTGTTCACTGACACGTGGAATTTCATCAAATGGCAAGCAGTTTAACTGTTTAGGCTGCTCAAGATGGGTACTAATACCTTTGAATTGGATATGTACTTGAAATAGAAAAATGTGGTTGTAGTTGAATAGCTCTTTCAAAGAACCAGCACTGGCACGATGGACCAAATGGCCTCCTTCTGTGCTGCAAGATTCTATGATTCTAATATCTGGTTTCTCTTTTCCCAGCTCCCAGGGCGATGTCTGTGGGAGACAGCGGTGAGTAGCAAACATTCATTCTTCATCCCTTTTCTCCACATCTTCGTAACGTTCAGACTGGGATCACAGCTCTATAGAATAGATTAGTCCGGGATCACTTCCCCCATTTCAAAGTATCCTGTTAATATTCTCTTCAAAATAGCTTCTTTAAATCTCATTCCACTGCCTTCAACACCAGATATCCTTTATAGACTCGGCTGTTTTCAGTGGAGACATTCCAGTTTTGTGCAACACCGATTTACAAACAATGTTCTTGTATGTAAAAGATTATTATTGCTGACCTGTTGGAAACAATCAGATTTTTGCGTGTGGTAATCTTAAACTCCATCTACTGGCGTTGTCAGAAATAATATCCTTCAATTGAAATGATCGACTGACGTGTGGAAACCCCTTGCTGTGCTCAAGAGATGCCCATCCCAGTCACTAAAAAAACATTAAATGTAGAGTGTTTGTGCACTGTGCTTAAGTGCACACTCCAATCCGGGAGAGGGTGAGGCACACATCAGCACCTTGGGACGTTCTCCCACAACAACAACAACAACATGAAACAACAACAACATGTGCTCCCAACATGAAAGTCAAAGTCTCTATCACTGACCCTAGAGTGTGTCTTGTGTGGGTGGGGGTGGGGGGGGGGGATGCGCAGGGGAGAGTGGTGGCTGCAATTTAATCAGATAAATCTACGCAGCTGACATCACCATCATGAAGTGCTGTTACACACTTTGTCCAGAAAGGGTTAAGGGTGGCAAAATACAAAGCATCAGAAAAACAGGAAGGATATCTTTTGGCAAGTTTTACATTAGCGCACCCAATGTGAGGCCATTTTGGGAGCTATAGCCTCCAATTTGGAGTCCTGTAGTGTATTGGTTAGAGCACTCGCCTTGCAAGTGAGAGGATTTGGGTTTGATTCCCGAGGAGGGTGAAACGTTAGGCAAGTTTCCTCACTCCACATTACTCTGTTTACCTAGCAGTAATTAGGAACCCAGTTTTGTCGATTGGTGGATCCCTTTCGGGGGATCATAATTCCTCTAAAAAATAAAAATAATAATAATTTGGTCATTCAATCCACAACTGTTTGTGGGACACTGCTGTGTGCAATTGGTCAATTTACAGTATATTCTGTGAAGCGTTTTGAGATGTCTCGAAGACATGATTAGGTGCTGTGCAAGGATTATTAGCAAGGAGTCCTGTAGCTCAGTGGTTAGAGCACTCACTTTGCAAGTGAGAGACCTGAGTTCAATTCCAGGCAGAGGGCGAAACCTTGGGCAAGTTTCCTTACTCCACACGCCTAATAATAATCCCTGCAAAAAAACAAAAACAATAATGAAATTGGCATTTTCAATCTACGACTGTTTGTGGGACATTGCTGTGCGCAATTGGCTGCCGCTTTCGCCCACAAATATACAGTCAATTCACTTTACAGTGTGTTCTGTGAAGCGCTTTGGGACATCCTCCTGACGTGAAAAGCGTTATGCCAAATGCAAGGATTATTATTATTATTATTTTGCCTGTGAGTTGAGTGGGGACCTGCAGCGTTAAAAGCAGAGAAACCTCTAATTGTTACAGTCCAGTTTTCAAAGTAACGGAGAGACCAGAGGCTGGTGTGAACAGCAGACAGTATAGGAGTGAACACTTATATTTTCCAGACATCAATTTCTTGATTGTGATCATTATTTATTCCACACACACACATTACCCCAATTTTGCCCTTTTAATACAACCCAGCATCTGGTTTGCCTTACTCACTGCCATCGTAACACATCTAACAGAATTACAAAAAAAATCTGCAAAGTTCTAGGAACATAAGAATTTGCTGGCGAAAGAAGACCAAGGTCCATTTAGTTCGCCGTTCACCATCGTGGCAGACGCTTGACATATTGTGTCCCAAACTATATGCTGTATCCCGAGACTTTATTTTCGTAACAGAAATCTATCTAATTTGTTCTTGAAACAAACAACACTTTCTGCTTCCACTGTCCCCCTTGGGAGCCTGTTCCATACGTTTACTACACTCTCAGTAAAGTACAGTAGAACCTCATTAATCAGGTCACTGAAGTGACTGGGCAAAAGTGACCTAATTAGTGAGGTGACCAGATTACTGAAACAGGATTACATAGGATGAACATAGCGACCTTTAATATAAAATAGGATGAACATTCAACAACCATTCTTTGCAATCTCATTAAAATGAAGGCATTGTCACATTTAAAACAGATCATAGGTTTCATTTTCAAAGTTCACATGAGAAGTTAAAATCAAACAAAATGTTCATTTCTTGAAGAAAAAGTCCAGTGTTGTTTCCCTGGCTGCTGATTTAACCTGCACTGCCTTGGCCTGCTGCTGACCCTCAGCATCAGCCAAAGTCGGCCACATGTTGAGTCCATGATCAAAACAAAAGTCCTTCACTTGCCCCAACACTTGCTCAACTTCGCCCAGCGGCAGTCACCGAGCGAAGTCGATTTTCCCCTCGCACAGCTTCCGCGATCCCAACACTCCCCGCGAGTGTGTGACCTGATCCCATTCCGCCCACAGTAACAACGTCGAGCAACAGCGCAAGAAGCCCAAGGCCTAGCGCACTGTGTACAGGATAGTAGCAGAGGTGGGTGTTTGTACTGCGTTTGTTCCAGAAGAGGGCGCTTGTAGCAGCCGCAATCAGTAACCATTGTCCTGAATGGTGAGGTGCTCGGTTTACTGAAGCGGACAAAACAGCCTTTTAACTTAGACAATGAAAGAGACTGAAAATGTGCCTGCAATTGTGAGGTGGCTGAATTACTGTGGTGACCACAAACCGGGTTTCTACTGTATTTACCCTCCTTCAGACGCAGGCCATGTCCTCTGGTTCTACTGTACGGTACAAGATAAAACAGCTTATTGTGGTCTACATTATCTATTCCCTCCAGAATCATAAAGATTGTAATCATACCAGCCCTCACCCTTCTCTTCTCCAGTGTGAACATGCCCAGTTTATATAATCAATCCTCGAAGTCCAGTCCCTCCATCCCCTCAATCATGTTGGTTGCCTTCTGTATCTTTTCAATCACTGCAATATCCTTTTTATATTGCAGTGACCAGAACTGCACACAGTATTCCAAATGCGGTCGCACCAGTGATTTGCTTCGCTGATCGCTTCCTTTGCTTCGTGACCACATCACTCCCACCCTCGCTCGCCTCCACTGGCTCCCCATCCCCCAGAGGATCTAATTCAAGATCCTCATCCTCACCTCCAAGGCCATTCACGGCCTCGCTCCCTCCTACCTCTCTGACCTACTATCCCCCTACCTACCTGCCCATACCCTCCGTTCCTCTGGCTCCGGTCTGCTCCACATCCCCCGTCCCAACCGTCCTACCATCGGTGGCCGGGCCTTCAGCCTCTCAGCCCCTGGCTCTGGAACTCCATCCCCCAGTGCCTTCGCCGCTTCCTCCCTTTCCTCCTTCAAGGCCGGTCTCAAGACCTTTCTCTTTGACCGTGTCTTCAGCTCCCCTCTCGACTCTCTACCCCCTCCTCGCTCCCTCCCTCCCTTCCCTCCCTTCCCTCCCCTCACCCTGACCATTTCCCCCCTGCTCGGGTCCCGACCAACTGTCCAGCGTCTTGGGACGTCCTCCCGACGTGAAAGGTGCTCTATAAATGAAATCTTGTTGTTGTTATTGATTTATAAAGTGGCCGATTACCCCACCATTTTGGCTCAATATTGCCCTTTTAATATAACCCAGCATCTGGTTTGCCTTACCCACTGCAATGTTGCCATAGCTTCAATTTATTGTCAATCAGGACCCCTAGGTGCTTTCCATTTTCCGTACAAATTATTTTCGTTGCATTTAAATAAAAGTCCCTTCCTGGAATTTTTGTTCCCATGTGAAGCACTTTACATTCTCTACATTGAATTTTATCTGCCACCGATCTACCCAATTCCCAAGAATGTCCTATTGGCTTATTGATGTAGTAGGGCATTATCTTTTCAATAAATGTTTGCGTTGTTCTAAGTCTCTCTTGTTTTTTATTTCACAGATTCGCTTATTTCGAAATCTGCCACTCTCCCTGCCTACACGAGGAATGGGCTACACAGGGTAACCGCATCTTTCTGTATTTCTGATTTCTGACCCGGAAAGGAGACGGATAGATGGAGAAAGGAGGAGAGACAGTGCTTTCCGATTCACCCTAATTTGATACAGTGCCTTTCACGTCGGAAGGACGCCTCAAAGCCCTTCATAAGATATAGCATAAAATGTTAGTGACTGGGGAATTTTAATTGTGGGTGAAATTTTTAAGGCGGAAAAGCCTACAAGTGAACATTTTTAAATTGTGAAGGTGATGAAAATTGCAAAACATTGCAAAACATCATATTTCGCCCTCAAAATGCATAGTCACTACGCTTTACAGTAAAAATCCCGTAAAACGCTTGGAGATGCCCTCACAACATCAAATGCATTACAGTAAAATTCACATAAGTCTGATCTGTGTTAATCTTATAACTATGTAAGTCTTACATCTGCCCGTCCTGTTGAATTTCCTATTATTTATGCACGTTTCACATAATTCATACTTTGCATCAGACATGTCGAATGTATGGTCCCAACTGATACAACTTTTGTGAGTTTACTGTATATCAAATCCAAGGATTATTTTTTACACTATTGATATTTTTCTCAGCTATGAGTACCCATGTGTACTACACTGATAGTTCTAGTTTTGAGTCCCTTCCAACTGGCATCCAAGGCAGCCTGTGTGATAAAATATTAATAATGTGGCATACGTTATGGAAAGTAAATTGGATGTGTTGCATAAATACTTGTGCAAACAACGTAAAGCTCTGATGGTATCACAACCTACTTTTGTTCTGGCAACATTAATTAAATAACAGTCCCAACACAATTACAGAGCTCAGTGAGGAAGGAACCAAATTAAATGAACATTGAATAAATTGCAAGTTAACAACAAAAGATTCTTCATTTCTCTGTTCCGTTCCTCCATCACCACTCGTGTCTACAGCCTGAGAGTCCTGACATTTTCCAATACGACGACGACAGTTCAGTTAACTGGGGAAGGAGAGGTAAGATTGAGTGCATGAAATGTAGCTCAGCCAAAACCTACTAAATGTGCCCATGCTTCAACTCTCAATCATTTAAATGCCCTTTAAGTTCCTGTCCAGTCAGTGCACATTGTCCCAGAACGTTTGTGTGTCAGATGCGCACTGAGACTTCCACTGCTCTTAAAGGGACCATACCCCTCTAGTCCTGCAAAACTCAAAGGCCATTGGGGATCCTGCCAATGACTTAGTCTTTCCCTTTATAATCTGTGGCCACAATTTAAGAGTGGCAAAGTAACCAATTTAGGTGCTTTTTCAGTAACCAAAATCAAAGGCTTTGTAAAATAATCTGAACAGGGTTTCTGTGCACTCCCTGCGCATAATTAAGAAGTCCTGCAATTGATGGAGGGTTAAGCATCAGTGCTGAGTTTCAATGCACCAAATAGCATTAATGCATGTGTCAGCCTGGCGCAGTGGTAGGATTTTTGCCTCTGAATCAGAAGATTGTGGGTTCAAGCCCCACTTGGAATCATTTAGTCTAAACTGACATTCCAATGCAGTGCTGGTGGTATGGTACATTGTTGGAGGTGCCGTCCTTCAGATGAGACGTTAAACCAAGGGCCCAACTGCCTGTTCAGGTGGACATTAAAGATCTCATGGCACTGTTTGAAAAGAGACAAGAGTTTCTCTTTTCTGGATAATTCGCCAAATAAAACTGGTCACTCACTAGATGGCTGTTTGTGGGACATTGCTATGCACAATTAGCTGTCGCATTTCAGCCACAAAATACACAGTCAATCCAGTACTGTATATCCGTGAAGCGCTTTGAAACGTCTCGACAACATGAAAGGCGCTATACCAAATTCAAGGATTATTACTAGCCATAATGCAGTAATGTCTTAATGCCATGCTAACTGCTCCACTATCGCACAGCATTGGAATTGTAAGCAAATCTTGCCTTCATTGTCTGAAACCATTGATTCAATGGCAATGATGAAACTGCTTGTCAATGAATGCTAGTTATGTGTAGAGAAATTCCACCTAGATTTGCCCTTTTAAAGGTGCATTAAACGAGTGTCTGAAATTTGGCAATTCGCTGACTTCAGTCTTAGTTTTGACATCAGTTTTCTGTAGTTCTTCAAAGGAACTAGTACCTACAAAATTAAGGCTGCATTTGCTAAATTCTAGACACACTGAAATGCTACATAAATAGAGTAAAGCTAGATCCGGTTGGAATTTCTCCCTGATAGAACATTAGCAGTGCTGGATTCTACTCATGGTTTGATTTCACCTTCCTTTTCTCCCACAGAATACAAGGTAAGACGTGCAGCTTGAAGCCCTGTGCAGTTTCCTGGGAAAAAGAGAGACGTCTTGTGGTGATGTTTCTGTTCAGACATTATGTACAACATTGCTGTACTAATTGGTGTTCTCCACATTAACTGCGTGAAAAGCATTTTCAAGAGTGCAGTATTTTATTATCCTATAAGCATTGTCTGAGACCAAATCTAACCATTTCCTGCTATAGGACTCCCTGATTGCTTGTGACGTAATGGTGTTCGGCATACATTATCTGCACAGATCTGCTTATTTATGCACAGTAAGCATAACACCACGCTGTGTCAGTGGATGCTTATTAATATTACTTGGTTGGCTGCCCAGAATGATGAAAGCCATGATTTATAGGGTTTGTGTTACTGAAATATAATTTGACTCATTTTCTCTATATCCAGAGGCTATTCACACAGCACTTTTCACATCAGATTTCTCAATTCTTTTATTGAAATGAAATTCATCAGTGGGTAGAATGCACATTGCGATTACAGCACTCGCAGAGTATGTTCAATATGTGTAGAGATTTCAGGCTATGGTTATTATAATAATAATCCTTGCATTTGATATAGCACTTTTCACACTTCTAGACAACAACAACAACAACAACAAGATTCCATTTATAAAGCGCCTTTCACGTCAGGAGGACGTCCCAAGGCGCTGCACAGTTGGGTCATGACCCGAGCAGCGGGGAAATGGTCAGGGTGAGGGGAGGGAAGGGAGGGAGCGAGGAGGGGGGAAATGGTCAGGGTGAGGGGAGGGAAGGGAGGGAGCGAGGAGGGGGGAAATGGTCAGGGTGAGGGGAGGGAAGGGAGGGAGCGAGGAGGGGGGAAATGGTCAGGGTGAGGGGAGGGAAGGGAGGGAGCGAGGAGGGGGGAAAGTGTCAGGGTGAGGGGAGGGAAGGGAGGGAGCGAGGAGGGGGTAGAGAGTCAAGAGGGGAGCTGAAGGCACGGTCAAAGAGAAAGGTTTTGAGACCGGCCTTGAAGGAGGAAAGGGAGGAAGCAAGGCGAAGGCACTGGGGGATGGAGTTCCAGAGCCTGGGGGCTGAGAGGCTGAAGGCCCGACCACCGATAGTAGGGCGGTTGGGGCGGGGGACGTGGAGCAGACCGGAACGGAGGGTACGGGCAGGTAGGTAGGGGGATAGTAGGTTGGAGAGGTAGGAGGGAGCAAGGCCGTGAATGGCCTTGTAGGTGAGGATGAGGATCTTGAAATCAATCCTCTGGGGGATGGGGAGCCAGTGGAGGCGAGCGAGGGTGGGAGTGATGTGGTCCCGAAGCCTGGTGCGGGACAGTACACGAGCTGCAGAGTTCTGAATGACCTGCAGCTTGTGGAGGGAGGTGGCGGGAAGGCCGGCGAGGAGAGAGTTCCCATAGTCCAGCCTTGAGGTGACAAAGGCGTGAACCAGGGTTTCAGCAGCGTGAGGGGTGAGGTAATGCCGTAGTCTGGCGATGTTCCGGAGGTGATGGAAGGCGGTGCCAGTTGTGGTGCGGATGTGAGGGAGAAAGGACAGCTCAGGGTCGAACAAAACGCCGAGGTTCCTGACTGGCTTTGAGAGGTGGAGAGTGCAGCCTTGGATGCTGATGGTGTCAGCGCCTGAGGTGCGGAGGCGCTGACGTGAGCCAATCAGGAGGGCCTCGGTTTTTCGCACGTTGAGCTGAAGAAAGTTGTCTCTCGTCCAGGACTCGATGTCGGACAGGCAGCTGTCAGGACATCGGTGGTCGTGGAGTTGAGAGTAGAGGAGGAAAGGTAGAGTTGGGTGTCATCCGCATACATGTGGAAGTTAACTCCATGTCTGCGGATGATGTCACCAAGGGGGAGCATATAGAGGGTGAAGAGGAGGGGACCGAGGACAGAGCCCTGAGGGACACCACATGAGACAGTGCGGGGGGTGGAGGAGAAGCCATTCGTCGAGACAAAGTGAAGACGGTGAGAAAGGTACGACCTAAACCATTCAAGGACAGTGCCTTGAAGGTTGAGGTGGGAGGACAAGCGGTGGAGTAGGATAGCGTGGTCGACCGTATCGAATGCTGCCGATAGGTCGAGGAGGACGAGGAGACAGAGGGAGCCCTGGTCACAGATGGTCAGGATATCATTGGTGACCTTGACCAGGGCAGTTTCTGTGCTATGGGCAGCACGGAAACCTGACTGAAGGGGTTCGAAAAGGGAATGGGTGGAAAGGAAAGAGCGCAGTTGGGAGGCGACAACTCTTTCCAAGACCTTGGAGAGAAAGGGGAGGTTGGAGATGGGCCGGTAGCTTGATAGCTGCGACGCATCAAGGGAGGGTTTTTTCAGGGTGGGCGTGATGATGGCAGTTTTTAATGGAATGGGGACAGAGCCAGAGGAGAGGGACAGGTTTATGATGTCAGTGATATGTGGGGCAAGAAAGTGGAGCTGGGAGATAAGGAGTGGAGTGGGGATGGGGTCAAGGGAGCAGGTGGTTGGTTTTAGGGATAGGATGAGTTCAGTGACAGAGGGTGGGGAAACGGGTACGAAGGTGTGTAGGGGAGGATGGGTAGGAGTCGGAGTGTGGGAGGGAAGGGGTGGGTGGTGGGTGGAAGTTGGAGGGGAAGTGACCGCGGAGCGGATTCCCTTGATCTTGGATTCAAGGAAAAGACTAGACGTCTCAAAGCGCTTCACAGGATAAACTGTAAAGTGAATTGACTGTATATTTGTGGGCGAAACGTGGCAGCCAATTGCGCACAGCAGTGTCCCACAAACAGTCATGGATTGAAGTGACCAATTTTTTTTTTTTTCTTGAGGGATTATTATCAGGCGTGTGGAGTAAAGAAACTTGCCCAAGGTTTCACCCTGCCAGGAATCGAACCCAGGTCTCTCGCTTGCGAGGCAAGTGCTCTAACCACTGAGCTACAGGATACAGATATGGTTGTATCTGCGATACTGTGCGATTGCTCAAGGTTTAACAAAATCACATCCTGCCTCCCTCTTTCAGAATGCACCTCTTTGACCGAGCGTTCGGTGATCTTTCCCCCCCTCCCCACCCCTACCAGCTCAGGCATGCATCTAGCTTTGTCAAGCACTTTGAATTATCATCCTGATGTGAAAGGTGCTTTAGAAATGTATGTAGTATTGATTCCAGCATAAATTTATCAATTAGCTGGTTCAACACTAACGGATAGTGTATAAGAGCATAAGCCATTTGGGTTTGCTGTGGAGCTCATTGTATTTATTGTACTTTAGATGCCAGACTTAAAAAAACGCAAGGGAACTTGCAGAAATGAAATCCCACTAAAAAAAAACTTTCCCTCCATTAGCTGTATTTGTTTTTATCTATATTTTCATATTGCTTTGCAGAAATTGGCTACCTTGTTTTCCCAAAAAATACGCAGTCGCTACAATTTATAGTATATCCTGCAATGTACTTTGAGACACCCTCCCGATGTGAAAGGTGCTATCTCAAATGTAAGGATTCTCTTTCATATACTTTAAAGCAAATAAATGGTTCAATTATAAATGGCATAGACATAGCTGGTTTGTTAGCCGTTGACTAATCGAATATTTTTTCCTATCCAGATTTATCCCTATGAAGCATTACTGGTGACCACTAGGGGTCGGAACAAACTGCCAAAAGAGATTGACAGAACAAGACTGGAGGTATGTGAAGCTAAACAACTATTCAGATTTAAATCCTGCAGTCCCTCCGCCTTGCCCATCCCTTGCCTCCTTCAAGACCCATCTCAAGACACTCCTCTGTGACCATGCCTTTGGTCACCCTCCTTCCACTCCTGCCCTCCCCAACTCTCAGCTCGGGTTCGAAAAAATGATTGTCCGGCACCTTGGGACGTCTTCCTGACGTGAAAGGCGCCATATAAATGTCATGTTGTTGTTGTTGTAACTATGCAGCATGGAACAGTAACCTCCTATGGCATTGACTTGGGGTTTGACATGTTTGCCTTAAAATACTGTGGACTTGTCTCGCATTGCTAGGCATGGCTCCTCAGGCACTTCACCCCCAAGGAGACCCTACTCCCTACTCAACCTATGTCCCCTTCCTATTAGACATGCTGGTCACCTTATCAACCTCAAAGGATTGAGTGGAATCATTGGGATTGTAACACATACCTTCTTGGTCTTGGGTCTAGGTCTTAACCATGTGAGATAATGTTTAAGAGTTTGTCATCAAAAGAGGGAAATATTTTTGTTTAAGAACCAGATCAGTCAGGGATTCGAACCAGCAAGCTCCTGTAATGTAAACTGCAGCTCTATCCACTACTCCATCGTTAACTCAATAAAGCATAAGTAGATCTTTGGGGTAGGCCAGGCCTGGTAACAGGTCAAGGGACTATTGCCCATGTAATCACTGGCTCTCTTATAATAATAATAATAATCCTTGCATTTGATATAGCGCTTTTCACGTCTTCTAGACATCGCAAAGCACTTCACAGAATATACTGTAAAGTGAATTGACTGTATATTTGTGGGTGAAACGCAGCAGCCAATTGCACACAGCAGTGTCCCACAAACAGTTGTGATTGAAGTGACCAATTTATTAATTTTTTATTGTTAAATTATCAATTTATTATTTTTCTCTTCATTGTTTCACAGCGCCATCTGTCGCCAGCAGATTTCTACCGGATCTTCAGAATGACGCTCGGCGAGTTTGACCGGTTGGCGCTGTGGAAAAGAAATGAGCTGAAGAAACATGCTCGCCTATTCTAATCACACAGGCACATCGCATTAAACAGAGACGGACACAAGAAGATCACTCTTGGCCTGTCCGAGTATACGACGCATTTAATCACACACTCTCTTAGTGTTTTCATATTGTTGTATTGACAGAGCTGTTGCCTACATGTATCTGTGGATGTTCTGCAAATATCTGACTTGTCGTCTCAGAGGATTTCCATTATTTGATGGTGTACCTTCCAATTGCAACATGTTTGATATAATCCATATATTCATCTGATTTCTTGGGAATAAGGCTGCGGAAGCCAGGGTGTCATGTTTAAGGATAGCTGGGATTCTGGAATAAACTAGGATTATTTGTTATCTGTCTCTTTTTTTCCCTGATTTTGTGCCTTTTTCTGTCTCCACCAAATCACTTTCAAATAAACCACAAAGCACCACAGATCACAGAATGCCAACCAGCACCTGGAAAGGGACATTTGCGGTGGCACTGATCATGACAAAGGGATGATCATCACAAAGGGTCTTTCCCTAAACAACAACAAGATTACATTTGTATAGTGCCTTTCATGTAGGGAGCACGTCTCAAGGTGCTGGGAATGATAAGCGCACATTTTCTTTCTCCTCCTGGGGATCTTCCAAACTCTTGCAATACTTGTTTCAGATTTCCAGCGTACGCAGTTTCCATTTTCACAAGATCACAAGAAAATTTGCTGTGATAAATGTGCACACTCGGTCATACTGTGTTCATTAGGACAAGAGAACATTGCATGAACTGCTCAAGAAGTTCACACTACAACTAATACAAAGTTCAGATGAAGACACCCTTCAGTCCATCTGATCCCGACTCTCCAAAACACTCACCCTATCGTACTCCCAACAAAAGATCAAGCTCTTTCTTTAGGTGTCCTGGCTTCAACCACACTTCCTAGTAACCTGTTCCCGTCTCTGGTAAAGATGATATCTGTCCTGAAATTACCCTTTAAAACTCTAAACCTAAGTCCTCTTGTTCTACTATTTTGGTGCATCTTAAAGTATTGATCTGGGTTTACTTTTTCAATCCCATTTAAAATTGCATTCTGAGGTGTCTTCTTTCGAGAATGAAGAGCTCCAGCTTGTCCAGTCATTGTTCATAATAGTTCATCTGAATTACTCTGCAATGGCTTAAGTTAGCAAACATTTAAGAGACAAAAAAGACCCTGAAATTCTATGTGGTCTTAGCCTGAAAGACTATTTTGTCCAACAGGCACAAAAATTGTGGAAAATACTTGTGTCCAGTCTAAATTTGGAAACTCTTTCTGCAGTTCTTAAAAGCAACTGATTTGACTGAGACTAAGTTGAACAGTTTTCCACAAATCAGCTTTTGCCTTTCCAATAGCTGTTGAGGACTCTTATCTATCACAGGTCTCTTTTATTGCCTTTGTCTGAGCCTCACAGAGCCAGTCCGGAACCTTGGCATCTTGTTTAACCCTCAACTACCCCACATCGAGACGTCGAGAAGACGTGAAAAGCGCTACATCAAATGCAAGAATTATTATTATCTGTGCCATGACACGCTTTGCCTTCCCCCACCTCCGCAACATCGCCGGATCCACCACTGTCTCACACCACATACATGAAACTCTTACACACATTCATAACATCCAGGCTTGACTATGCAAACTCCCTGCTTGTTGGCCTCCCCAACTTCTCCCTCCATAGGCTGCAGATCATCCAGAACTCTGCAACCTGTGTCCTCTCCCACACCAGGCTTCGTGACCCTATCACTCTCATCCTCACCCGACTCCATTGGCTTCCTATCACACAGAGGATACAGTTCAAGATCGAGGTCCTCACCTTCAAAGCCCTCAATGGCTTTGCTCACCCTTACTTCTGCAACGTCCTAACTCCTGCAGTCCCTCCACCTCACCGCCTCCTTCAAGACCCATCCCCCTGCACTCCACCCTCCCCGATCCCGACCCCCAGCTCGTCTTTGAAACACTGATTGTACAGTGCCTTGGGGCATCCTCCCGACGTGAAAGGCGCTATACAAATGTAATTTTGTTATTGTCTCTGCCACCACCCTTTGGAACTCCATCCCAAACTCCCTTCGCCTTGCCCCTTCCCTTGCCTCTTTCAAGACACTCCTCTGCGATTGCACCTTCAGTCACTCTCCTACCCATGCCCTCCACCCATCCTGTTGCCAACCCCCAGCTTGGATCAAAATCCCTGACTGTCCATCGCCTTGGGACATGCACCCAATGTGAAAGGCATTATACAAATGTAATTTGTTGTATCGTTTGTTAGTTGTCCGATGAAATGACTCTCACTGACTATTCACTTGTTAACAGGTAGCTCTTGCTCAAACCTATCCCTGCATCACTTTGCTTTTTAATCAGAGTACAAGACAAGGCCCCGTGGACAAGGACTTGAGAAGCAGATGGCAAAATGACAGGTAGGTTACACTACAGACCAGCCACGTGTTCAAGTGAAGCCTATTAAAAACAAAGAGAACATATGAAACAAAAAAAAGTCTTAGCACAATACATTCCAGATCATGCTTTCACACAAAGGAGCTGCAACAGATTGACCCTTTAAGCTTAAATGGCAGTAAATTTGAAGGATTGTTTTACATGGGAATCAGTAGATTTTCATCCATTCTCAAGTGAAACTTTAACAGTGGATTCTCACCTCAAGCTACTTAATTGCAAGCAAAATCTTTTAATCACTTTAATAATAGTAATCCTTGTATTTGATATAGCACCTTATCACATCATTGAGACATCTCAAAGTGCTTCACAGAATATACTGTAAAGTGAATTAACTATACTTTGTGGGCGAAACACAACAGCCAATTGCACACAGCAGTGTCCCACAAACAGTTGTGGATTCAGTGACCACATTTAAACATTCCTGATCACGCTTTCTCAGCTCTTGCTCAGTTTACAACAACAAAAACAACAACTTGCATTTCTATAGCGCCCACCATACAGGGTAGTGGTTCAGAGCACTTAACTATGGGGGAGCCAGACTCCGAGCTGGGGTTGGTGAGGTGGCCGTAAGCATGGTGGAAGAGGAAGGTTTTCAGGCAGCACTTGAAAAAAGGAAGATGGGGGCAAGGCGAAGGGATTGAGGGAGAGTGTTCCAGAGTTTCGGGGGGGTGTAGCGGTTGAATGTGCGACCTCCAATGGTGGAGGGTGAGAGGGACAAGCAGTAGGCTGGTGCCAGTCAAGCTGAGCAGCTGGATTGGGAAGAGAGGTTAGAGAGGTAGGGAGTGCCAGAGAGTGAAAGGATTTGAACACGAGTGTGAGGATCTTGAAGTCGATCCATTCGGTGATGGGGAGACAGTAGATTCTGGCCAGAACTGGTGAGATGTGGGTATGGAGTTTGGTCCAGGTAAGTATGCGGTCAGCAGAGTTCTGAATGAGCTGGATCATTTGAATGGTGGCACTCGGGAGATCGACGAGAAGTGTATTTGAGTAATCCAGGCAGGAGGTGACAAACACATGCATGAAGGTTTTGGCTGCATTTGGGGTAGGCTACGGTCGAAGGTGGGCACTATGGCAGAGGTGGAAGAAGGTCCTGGTCAGGGACCAGGTGTGGGGGACAAAGAGGAAGAACAGCTGGGGGTCGAACCAGACACCTAGATTGTCAACTGGTTCGGTGAACCTGAGGGAAAGGTTGGGGAGGTATCTCTGCCAATACCTCTCCCCAAAAGCCTCTCCGCCAATACCTCTCCCCATGCCTTTATCACCTCTTGGCTGGACTATTCAAACGCCCTCCTCGCCGGTCTCCCATCCACTACCATCCATAAAATCCAAATCATTCAGAACTCTGCCGCCCGCATTCTCACCCGCACAAAATTCCGTTCCCCAATCACCCCATTCCTTGCCAGACTGCACTGGCTGCCTATCCCAGAGAGGATCGATTTCAAGATCCTCACCCTCGTATTCAAGTCCCTGCACTCCTCTGCAACCCCCTTTACCTCTCTGACCTCCTGTCTCCTCAGCACAGTACGCGTTGCCTTCATTCCTCCAGGTCTGGCCTCCTCTTGTCCCTCGATTCCTCCACTCTACCCGCGTAGGCCGTGCCTTCAGCCACTATGCCGTGAGGCTCTAGTACTGTCTTCCTCACTCTCTTTGGCTCGCTCCCTCCTTTCCCATTTTCAGGTTTCTGCTGAAGACCTTTCTTTTTGACCATGCCTTTGGTCACCTTCCCACCCCTCCCCCTCCCTCGGTCCCGGGATTCTGAACTGTAAAGCGCTCTGAGACACCGACCGGCGTGGAGGGCGCTATATAAATCCAAGTTATTGTTGTTGTTGTTGTTGAGGTTGAGGAGTTCAGAACCGCAGAAATGAAGATGTTGACGGAAGCCAAGGAGAATGGCTTCCATCTTGTCTACATTCAACTGCAGGAAGTTTGCAGTCATCCAGGCCCTGATGTCTGCCAGACAATCTGTTAGAACATTGGTGTTACCCAGCATCATTATCGTTATCTTTAAATTAAGGCCATAGCTAACTTTTGCCAAATTCGAGATGCCCTGAAATGCTACAAAAATAGAACAAATCTAGGCCCTGATGGAAATGCCGCCCGCACCCCCAACTTTGCTTAACAGTTAGTCTCTCATTCTCGGAGACATGTCTTCCTGCATTAGAACAAACACCAACAAGAGAGCCTCATTTGGCAGACATTCTAACCAGCTAAGTCAGAAATAAACATCAACTCTGGACTAATAATTCTGCCAGTCGCTCGATAATGTTTACCTTAAATGATGAAATGTACTGGACGTCTCCTTTAAAGGGCAACAGCCTAAAGCGGCTTGTGGATGATTTAAATCTTTTTGCCCTTGCACTAATCCCATTTGCAACAACAGCTTTCAGACTGTAAATCCAGCCAGGCATTTGAACATCACTATGGTTTTTCTGAGTAGGTTAATTTACTGACGTTTTTACATGTGTACATATCACGCAAAACATCATTATAGACACACGCTCCTAGTATTGCACTGCAAATACACCAACAAGAGGAAAAGTCACCCCTCCCAAATTCCCTACCCCCCGTATTACAATGATGTGTTAATATCTGTGTACGAAGGGGTCAGTTCTCATTGCTTTCAGTCTTGAGAGAAGACGACTTGGTGAGATTTATGGCATTTTAAATGGATTGAAAATAGTAAACCCCGAACAACACTTTAAGGAACTGCCAAGACAGGAGATCAAGAGGACAGAAGAGGGGGATGCAAAGCTGATCCATTCAGATTTTTTGTCTTCTGCAGTATGACTGTCAGTTCCACAGTAACTCAGGAGAGCTTGGCTGTGTATGTGCAGTACTGGAGCTGGTGCCCATAGCACAGAAACCGCCCTGGTCAAGGTCACCAATGACATC